TTACTGTATTGCGCAAACGAACACCTTGAAATCGTGGTCAATGAATGATAAAAAATATGTAATTTTTTGTACGTTATTACAAAGTTAAGTCGTACACTGAGTGCATTACTAATAAAAATCTTACGTTACGGACGTTTTTTCCCGGTTAGGGTACCCCTCCGCATCGTCCCATAAGGAACATCGTTCCAAAAAAATATACATATCAAAAAGCTAGACATAAACAAGTGTAATTACGTGGGCTTCAAGATATGTGTCCGAGAGTAATCCCTGCATGATCTGCCGGAAGCCAACGTTGTGTAACGGCAGGAAGAGTCCGGTGATGGCGACGTGGTCTCCGGGCTGCGCTCGCCGCGTCGTCTCCCCGCGGCAGTACACGGACAGCTGGCGCGGGATGTGCCCCACCGGGACTTGGTCGGACTGTAGGATGCACCAAACACAAAGCAGTCTAAGTAATTTTTATATAATTGATGTTATACTTAGAAGAATCACTAAATCACTAATTTGTAAAAAAAAACCAAATAATTTTAAAATTACATCCACAAGTTCTTCGTATCAAACTGAATATTCATTCTTGTGAGTCCGCGCGGAAACATTAACTATTCGTTCAAGTCGTCGTGGCCTAAAGGATAAGACATCCGGTGGAGCGGTAGGCAGCGGCTTGGCTCTGCCCCTGGCATTGCTGAAGTCCATGGGCGACGGTAACCACTCACCATCAGGTGGGCCCTATGTTCGTCTGCCTACAAGGACAATAAAAAAAAGTTTCGAGCGATGCACCGGTGTTCGAATCCCAGGCGGGTACCAATTTTTCTAATGAAATAAGTGCTCAATAAATATTCATAATTGACATCCACGGTGAAGAAATAGCATCGTGTAATAAAAATCAAACCCGCAAAATTATAATTTGCGTAATTACTGGTGGTAGGACCTCTTGTGAGTCCACGCGGATAGGTACCACTGTCCTGTCTATTTCTGCCGTGAAGCGTTTCGGTCTGAAGGGTAGGGCAGCCATTGTAACTATACTGAGATCTTAGAACTTATATCTCAAGGTGGGTGGCGCATTTACGTTGTAGATGTCTATAGACTACAGTAACCGCTAAACTCCAGTAACTAAGCAGTAAGTGTAAGGCACACTCCACAGGTGTATGAGTGAAGGTGAAGCACTACTTATATTTTTTATATTTTTTTATATTGCTTAGATGGGTGGACGAGCTCACAGCGCACCTGGTGTTAAGTGGTTACTGGAGCCCATGGACATCTACAACGTAAATGCGCCACCCACCTTGAGATATAAGTTCTAAGGTCTCACTATAGTTACAACGACTGCCCCACCTTTCAAACCGAAACGCATTACTGCTTCATGGCAGAAATAGGCAGGGCGGTGGTACCTACCCGTCCGGACTCCCAAGAGGTCCTACCACCAGTGATGACACGACTTCACTGGAATAATAGGCACGGCACACTTCACAGGTTTATGAGTGAAGGTGAAGCACTACTTATATGTACATACGTGCTCCTGTATCTTAAGCTCCTGGAACTTCTGGAACCTAGAGCCCCTGGTCTGCAGATGCAGCTGTCCGGCGGTCTTGTTGAGGCGGCAGTCGTCGGCGGTGCAGGCGGGCGGCGGCGTGAACTGCAGCGCGCGCACCGGCTGGTACGTCTCGGCGCCGCACGCGCTGCACGAGTACGTCGCCACCACCAGTAGCGGCTTCACGTCCGTGCACCGAGTCACTATACCTGAACACAAACTTAAATTAACTAGTAGTCCCGCAGTAGTCGAAATTCGACTATAATTAATTGAAATTATAAGTTTGAATATTATTATGGTTCTATTGTCAAAGACTATTATACTTCTATAATCACAGATTTCGCAAAGACTACACTATAGACAAATAATATTAAAGATAAACAATATTAATATTAGTGTGTGGGTGTCAGATACATGGTAGTATGTGTAATGTTTTTTTATTGATTTAATGTACTATTAACGCATATTTTTTTTAAAATATTAGCATTGTGCACTCCTTCTCTATATTCTCTATAAGTGTGGGAAATTTCATACTCCTCCGTCGACGCGATTTTCGTAAAAAGGGGTACAAAGTTTTTTCTTCAGGTATTAATATATAGATATTTAACAAATCTCTTATCTATTGAGACTATCGTAGGGTATATATGTATTTTATTGTTACATATCTTTTTCTGTTTATACATCTCTATATATTTCGATTCTTGCAGCATACAGTGACTTTACCCCTGACTCTGCTGAAATCTAGAAACGGCAAAGAATGTTCATCATCATTATCAGTAGAACCCACACCGGTGTCTCTTCAGAAACTATACTTATTCAATTGTTATTTGTAATTATTGGTATTTGTTGTTAAGTTTGAATTACTCTTATTTTTATTTTTATTTTATAACATTTTGTAATCTTGTAACTGTATGTGTGTACTGTAACTGTTGTGTATTATGGAAGTGTTATCTTTTGGCACAGAATTTATCAATAAAAAAAAGAAGATCTCAAACACTATTATTTGAAGTGTATTATGGAGATAACTATTTATAATTTTGCTTTTTTTGAAATTTTTATTAATAAATAAATAGATTAGGTGTATCTTAATCTATAATCAAATAGAAATAAATCAGTACAATATCCTGAATTACACCCTAATGACAATTCCAATTAATTAATGTTACCTGTTCAATAGAAGATTAAGTTTGTAGTAGATCCCTAGAAACATGTAATGTGATTGCATGGTTAATGAAGCATCTCCTAGAGGTCGTTATTGGGTTGCAGTGATTAACTACATTAAGAAATCGATTTTTTAATTGAAATATAGATAAATATCTATATTCGTATATACAACATGACTATACTATAATATGTACCTCGCACAGTAACTAGTTTCCCAATATGTTCAGCCTTAACTTCTCTGATAGGTACACTTTTCGATGTTGACAAGTCTTTGAAGTACACTTCACTAAAATAAAGAAATACTTATTTTACAAATTGTTATTTCATAATATGGCAATTTAATTTGACTTTAAATTAAAATCTATTCTTCTATTTAATATGAGTGAGTGGGATGACAAATCAAATTAGGTAAATAAAAGATTTAAATGTATTTTTTATACAATCAAAACCTCAATCTAACTCATATAAAGGATCAATTCTTAAGAAAAAATCTCTCATAAGTTAGACAAACCTAAATGTATTACCAGTATACTTGTTTATTTACAGTTAAAAAATCTCAGAACTTAATATAAAAACAACTTACAATCTCCTGATGAGCTCTGGTGGGTATCTGTTCCTAGGATCCCTCATTTCTCCAGGAATCCTGTGGTTTCTGGCTTCCAACATAATTCTGTGCTCAATGTATACATCCAAGGAATCCTTTGCTACTACCTGATATTGTTATATAATTTGTTTTTTTAATTTTGAGTTATATTATACTGTGATATAACATTCAAACACTAATAGCTCAGGAAAGACTACAATAGCAGAACCGTTTTTTTGTGTTGCAATGTCCAGTGGTTAGAATAATTAAGCATTAGCTTTAACGAAACAAACATTGTATGTGAAAACAATTTTATATAAAATTTTATTAGATAATTCATTTTATTTATATTTGTGTAACACAACTGTAATGTGCAACACACGTAATTAAAAATATTCTATTCATTTTATACAATGAATGAAATTATAAGGTCACATACATTATGTACATTTACGCTGATTTGCACATAAATGCTTTCTGTTGTTGTTAGTATAATTGCTTTTTCCCATTTTTGCTACAATCTTTAAGCTTTGCATAATTATATCAATGTTTACCTCTTTGAATTTGTAATCAGGCAGCATTTCATAAACCACGTCTGACACCATATTAGTGTATCTTCTGGTATTTTGTTTGACTGCCTCAGTCAAATCTTCATTCATCTCATGTAAATCATCCAAGTCAACTTCAAATGCTATCTGTAATAAAAAATTAGTTTTTGTTATTATCGTCTTCTTGCTTCCTGTGTGCCCTAGGCAGGCAGTCATGATGTGTATTGACGTTTGGTTTAGTTTGATTTCAGTTACATAAAAATTTCGGTAATTTAAAGTATAATTCATACAACAAGCTATAATTTTTTTTAATCCTAAATTTTTGTTATTATAATAACTGTATGCACATAAATAAACTAATCTTCATTATCTGCTAATAATCATTATCTTGATCCTGCGATAGTTTACAATAAGATTACAATTATACCTTATAGTAAAACTGGAAAAATTGTCCCAGCAATAAAGTAAGCGAAATTGTATTAATATATCATTCAAAGAACTAGAAACTACAACTACCCTAACCTCAACATAGCATTGTATTTTTTTTATTATTATGAACCGAATAATCTTACCTGTTCTCTGTGTGCAACTTTAGTAAGTTGTTCAGCATATTTAAAATACTTTTTTCCTTCATCATCAGTTTGACAAAAATCCACGAAAAAGTTCTTGAAAGATTCTGTAAAGGTTTATTGAAATTATTTAATCGTTCATAATTTTGGTAATATGCTCGATCTTCTTCAATTACCTTTATCTGCAGTGTAATCACGCATTGCCATTATGTTAGAAATATGTTATTCGAATAATTGCTGTCTTCAAATGCTAATCACAAATGTATCACCAGCACCGATCACAAGCATCACAACAAATGTTTTTTGACAGTTACAAATTGGCGCGAAATTTGTGAAACTAAGAAGATTTTTATTTCTAAATGGATAGGTAAAGGGAACAACTCGCATATTGAAAGTCTTCTAAAAAAAGGGCAAAAACGAAATCTACCAAATGCAAATTTCACACCATATACCTTATCCTTTAGTAGAACATGAAGACTTTAACTAATTAATTTAGAAAAGAGATTCGACTGTATAGTATGATATCTTCGCCCTTTCTGTTGCAAAACGGAATACAAATATCAAATGTCAATATTGTCAATCACAGCTGAAGGCTTTCAAAGTGGATACGCGCCAAAATATCTAAAAAGAATTTAACCTAATCAAAATATTAGTGTTTCTTGTAAATGTAAATTGTTTTAAACTTATATATGTGTACAAAAGAAAAGCTATTAAAAGAGAATGGCCGATTCAATAGGTACTGCAATACTTAAGTCTGTATCTAGGATGCATTTAGTTTCGAAACTCCTTGAACATTTAACAAAATGTATTTATTGTTTGTAGCTGCTCAGCGTGCGAAGCGACAAAAAACAGACCGACACGGTAGATTCTCGGCGTTTGAGAAGCTAAAACAATTAAAAGGGAAAGGTGTAAAGCATAAGTACGATGTGGATGTGCTTGAGAATGTGTACGACACTGTTGACGAGAAAGAATACACAGAAAGAGTTCTACAGCGACAAGAAGACGATTGGATAGAAGATGGTAAATCCATGTTACAAATCAGTACATAATTTTTAGTTTCAACTAATAATATTAAGTAGACTTTTCAAAAAAGTTTCACATATAAATTTTCAAAATCCTTATTTATTAAATGTTTAAAGTGACTACAAAACGAATTGAAATTTTCAATTGAGAAAACATGCATTCTGTAAATTAAATGTGCATTAGTGACACAGTAATGTTTGTTTTCAATACTGGCTATACTTAACGAGTGAAAAATATGTATTAGAAGATTCAACTAATGTAACAAACTTTTTAGATGGTACTGGCTATGTTGAAGATGGAAGGGAGATATTTGATGATGATGATGATGCTTATGAAGCAAGAAATAGTAAAGATACAGGCAGAGGACAGAAAAGGAAGGCCAAAGTTGCAGCACAGACCTCGGGAAAAGGGAATATACGAAACTTAATTGGTAACATGCCTAGTAAGAAAAAAGAGGTTGGTTATTTTTTTTTTATTTAATTTATATTTAAGAATGCTATCCATTGATATCTATGATTATAATGTTTTAAATAGGATATTTTAAGTACTAATTAGTTCTTATGTATTGGGGACATCCTTCTGATAATTTTAGGAAAAATATAAAAACTATAGTCTACTATAGAGTTACAGACTATGAGAAATATAATTATAGTCTAGATTCCAAGAGAAAAGTGCAAAAACTTAATAATGTTTTGCATAATATAGATCCAACCTTATATTTCTGAAATAAAGATTAATAAAAAAAAATATTTTTGTAACCTGTAATCCTAGTAAAAACAGGGTTAATTTAATTTGGTACTTGAGCAACTTTGACTACTTCTCTAAACTAAATTCCCTGTTTAATTGCACATATTATCTAATAATTGGCAACTTGGTAATGTTTAAATCCTAACTTAATTTTTTATTAGTAATTTAATGTGTTGTTTTTCTTTCTTTCAGGATGTAAAGATTTCAGAAGATAATATTTTATCTGATATTATATCTGATTTAGATGCTAATACTCCATCAAATGTAGTTAAGTCTACACTGCCTATAACTAAAACTAACATCGTGGAAACAAGTAAGAGAGATGCACAAAACTACTTCAAAAGTCTTTCTGCTAACGTCAAGAAACCTTCTGTACTGAAAACATTCAAGGAAGAAAAGGAGGCATGTGTAATTTTTCATTTGTATCAACTTAATAACTGTTAGTCTAAGGGGCTATTCTAGATACTCAGAGAATTTGCTAACACTAGCCTTAGTGAGAGCAGTTTTTCGTAGAATTCACCACTGAATCGGAATCACAACCCACTGAGAAGATCTAGCAACAAACTCAGCCGGCTGTGTTTCTGGTTATTTCGGTTGACTAGGACCGGTGCTTGAAGAGCATAAAATGTCCAAGATATGTAAAAAATATGTAATTAGCCATGACCAGAATAAGAGAATTATCGTATCGCGCTGCTTCGCCAAAATAGCGTTTTGACGCTATCTAAAATACTTACGTATTGGTTCTAAATTTAAGTCCTCTGTACATTTCCTGGAACCTGATTGGATAACTATTTATGAAAGTATAAATGTTGTAGTAGCTGATACAACACAACAATATAAAATATAACTGAATAGTAATTTATTCATGTAACACAATTTCAAAAGTAAACTTTGCTTTGCATTAAGAGATCGTCGAAAATATAAAACGAAAAGTATTCATGCAGAATGTACCTATTGAAAATCGTTCTCTCTACAGAAACACAAAACAATTACTTTTTTAAAAGTTGTTACATTACTAAAATAATTTGCAACAGCAAGCTAAAACTTGTTATTATTTCAGACTGAAAGTATTGAGCCAGACACATCTGCAGTACAGTGTGAAAAAAATATGGTAAATATCAACTTCTTAAAGTTAAATGTTTTTTAATTGTATTTTAAATATCCTTGATATTATTGATGATGACTGATTACCTACCTAATGATTAGTGGTTTCTGCCCCTTGTAGACATCAGCAATACCAGAGCTACACATAGCCAATCTCCTGTGGACACTTTTCTAACCTGGTTTAAAAAAGAACATCATAGCAATCAGGGTAGCATCAAGGTTAGGGAGAGCCAGATGATATCCAGTGCTATAGAAGAAACAACTCCTTAGTACTTCCATCAAACCTTCGATAATAACATGGAGAGAACAATGATTCTATTAACAGTATAATTTGATTATTTTTTTATTTATTACATGTAAAGTTTGTTTTTGTTTAAATAAAGGGTAACAGCCACAGCCTGCAAATATTAACAAATATATTATTTTAACCTCGCAGATAAATCATGTGGTAAATGAACCTGCAAATAAGAAAATCAAGAAACCAGAATGGAACATTGAAAAAGAAATCAAGCAAGAACTTAATGAAACGCTTACTCCTAATATAGAAGAATTTGAAACACAAGATATTGACTTTGATGATGACTTCAGCAATGATGCAAAAACGCCCCAAGTGAAAAACGAACCTGTCAGCACCGGAACTAGCACCGAAAATCCTACAACAGACATCACTGATGAATTTTTCAATGACGAATTTGAAATATTCCCTTTACCAAAGAAAGAAACTACGAAAGAACTGAAACCATTGACTAGTACATGGCCAGAACAAGGAGGTGACAACCAAACTGTGTCTTCAGTTCAAAGTGATGGTCAATTACCACTGCAAACCAATGAAACAGGGGAGAAAGTGCTTAGATTTTACTGGCTTGATGCATGGGAAGATCGGTTCGTAAAACCAGGCGTTATATACCTATTTGGAAAAGTTTATGTTGACCCATCAAATAAGAAGGCTGGATGTGTATCATGCTGCCTTGTTGTGAAGAATGTTAATAGGCAGATATTCCTGTTGCCAAGAGAATATGTAAGTTTTTTATTGCTATAAATATGTGTGACTCGTAGTGCTTCCCACTTTGCAATATGAGATTGATATCTCAATTAATTTAAATTACTGCCTTACCCTTAACACTAGAATGCAAAACTGCTTCACGGTAGAGACAGACTGTAATGTCTACACTAACAGGCTTACAATTTAAACCAAGATGGCCCTTTGTCATAGAAGGGTAGCTCACATAGTAAAAACCCTTTTATTTTTAACATGCTAACTGTTGCTGAATACTGTAATTTAAGTACGAAATTTCATGTCTCCCGCATAAAATAATACAACATTTACCACATAGTTTACTATCGAATTTACTGGAAAATGTTTTTTGTTTGTTATGTACACTGCAACCATCCTGAGCTATAAGCAGAAATCTGTGATGTGGTAGTTTGGCTGTGTCCTCCACTGAGGGTAGTTCCTCATCAGTAGTATATTCATTTTGTACATATATAAGTTTATAAAATGTTTAAAACAATTACAATAGTTAAATCAAATCACCATGCTGCTAAAGAAATTATCACTACCATAAAAGATATACTATCCAAATTTACATTACTTTTCAGAAACTTGACCCAATAACCCTTGAGCCAACAGAACAAGAGGTGACGATGATGGATATGTATGAAGAGTTCAATAGTTCTGTGGCAAGTGAACTCAGTCTCAAAGAATTTAAATCACGAAAGGTCACCAAGAACTACTGTTTCAATTTGCCAGATATACCAGCTCAATCTGATTATTTAGAAGTTAGATACTCGGTAAGTTTTGTCTTGATTTGTTATAAAAAAAAAATTATTTTCTTATTTATTCACATGTAATAATAGAATTATTCTGTTATATCCACTCAGCGTTAAAAGTTTTTAGTCTAAAGATTATTCATGACCGAATATTTCCTAAAAACAACAAACATTTACAAACATAATACAACTTCTGATATCATACTTGCAGGCAACTCTCCCTCCGCCTCCTACCAACAAAAAATATTTGACATTCTCACATATATTCGGAACGAACACATCTTCACTAGAAATATTCCTACTAGAGAGGAAAATCAAAGGGCCCTGTTGGCTTGAGATCAAGAACCCGGAAAGCGTCCAAGCCAAAGTGTCTTGGTGTAAATTGGAAGCCTCGTGTGAGAAGATGGAACACGTTAATGTTGTCCGGACGGATGGTAACTTAGAACCACCACCAATAGTCACAGCTGCTGTAAGTCCACTAATTAAGTAATGGTATATTTTAATTAAAAAAAATCTCCTACCGACGCCGAAAGTTCGGTTTTCGTCCCGCTGTACAGGCAAGAAAGTGTAACTTCTCCTCCCTGGGTACTGACAAGTGCAATAAAATTTAATAGTGAAGTATGAAACAAACATGAGTTCATCAGACAGTTCTTATTCAATTAGTAGTAGTTTATTTAAAAATAAAAAAACAGTTAAATTGTTTTTTATGAGGGAGGGGGTCTTCCCCCACCCCCTGTCAGGGCTTCGCCCCTGAATCCTGGCTCTGTACTCCACGGGTGCTAAGTTTTTTGCAGTGTCGAACTTTCGGCCTGGTAAGAGAAAAAATAGTATGTGTACCGCGGGAAAAAAGTAGGACATTTCCTCCCGCGTGTAAAATTGCACACACGTGCACAATGTACTATTTTTTATTAGATTATTATTTCATCCGTTCAATGGTATTAGAGCCACCCTGCTTAGCGAACTTTAGAAAAAAATACTATGAATATACAGCCCTAAATGTGCTCAAAGTTCGAAGTTCTACTGCTGTAAATACCATTTTCAAACGCATCCATTATTAATTTAATCAACTTATTTTCCTAATGAATGATTGTAAAGTCCAAGAAAAATCGGACTATAATAACTAGTCAGGTCATAAGTATTGTCACACAGTAAAAACTTTTCTTTTAGAATGCTGGCCACAAAAAAGTTTATTGAATTCGAATTTCGAATTGTTCATGAAAATAAAAATGTATACTTTTAGAATTTTACTCATTTTTAAATATGGAGTGGACGCTTAAAGAAGACCGTGTTGCAGTTATTGCGTTGCATCGTTGCGGTTACGCGCCAATTCAAATTTTTAACATACTGAAAAATTTGAATATAACCAAAAGATTCGTTTATCGTACCATCAAACGATACAATGAAGACTCTAGTGTAGATGACAGGTCAAGAAGTGGTCGCCCTCGGTCTGTTAGGACTCCAGCAGTGATAAAAGCTGTGAAGGCGCGAATTCAAAGAAATCCCAAACGTAAGCAGAAACTGTTGGCCCTTCAGATGGGGTTAAGCAGAACCACGGTGAAAAGGGTGTTAAATGAAGACTTAGGGCTTCGGGCATATCGAAGAAAAACAGGACATCGTTTGAATGCTCGTCTAATGGACCTGAGACTGAAGAGATGCCGCGCTTTGTTGAAGCGGTACGCGGGAAAAAAATATCGGGAAATTCTTTTTTCGGATGAAAAAATTTTTACCGTAGAAGAGAGCTACAACAAACAAAATGATAAGGTGTACGCACACAGTAGTGAAGAAGCGAGCAACCGTATTCCGCGTGTCCAACGAGGTCATTTTCCATCCTCGCTCATGGTATGGTTGGGAGTTTCTTATTGGGGCTTAACAGAGGTACATTTTTGTGAGAAAGGTGTAAAAACGAATGCAGTTGTGTATCAAAATACAGTCCTGACGAACCTTGTGGAACCTGTTTCTCATACCATGTTCAATAACAGGCACTGGGTATTCCAACAAGATTCGGCGCCAGCTCATAGAGCGAAGAGCACACAAGACTGGCTGGCGGCGCGTGAAATCGACTTCATCCGGCACGAAGACTGGCCCTCCTCCAGTCCAGATTTGAATCCGTTAGATTACAAGATATGGCAACACTTGGAGGAAAAGGCGTGCTCAAAGCCTCATCCCAATTTGGAGTCACTCAAGACATCCTTGATTAAGGCAGCCGCCGATATTGACATGGACCTCGTTCGTGCTGCGATAGACGACTGGCCGCGCAGATTGAAGGCCTGTATTCAAAATTACGGAGGTCATTTTGAATAAACTTTAGTGTCATAAGAATCTATGTTTTGTTTAATTCATTTTGGTATATGAATGGTTACATAATGAATAAACTTGTTTCAATTATTTTACATTAAACATGTGACAGAATTTATGACCTGACTAGGTATACTTCTAACCCACCACTGGGATAAGCGCAAGGCTTAATATTAAAGCCTCTTAAAACGGCGTTAAAGTTTTGAATGGTATTTATAAAATATTATGCTCAGTATTTTTCGTTTTTCCTGGTTTACACATAATTAAAGTATGTCTTTTACTACTGCTTTAGGCTCATAAGTAACTTAAATTTAACATAAACCACAAAATTGTGTGACACTATGAATGTGTCCGACCAATCCCTTATTGTCTCTGTTAAGAGGTTGATAACGTAATCAAGTTCTATTCGTGCTTCAGATAAACATGCGCACGACTATGGATCCGAAAACGCGAAAAACAAAGATTGTGATGTTGAGTTGCTTGACTCACAGCAGTTTCCCGATACACAAGTCGCCTCCGAATCCACCGTTTCAACAGCATTTTAGCAGTAAGGCAACTTTTCTTTTGTTAATCCATAGATTTTGAAGTTATACTTCTTTAGGCGCGTTATGAAAAATTGATGAGAGTGAAATTTTACGATGCGCGCGCACCGTGACACTAAATTAACAGAATGAAGTTGTCCACTAAATCGCTCATTACAATACGACCGACGTAACTTGGCGAGTCTGAATATAGCTGCAGGTGAACTTTCGCGCATGTACACTCGTAAAAAAAGTGTTATTAGCATTCATTTTTTAGTAATATAAATGACAAAATTATTATTTAATATAATTCATACTAAATATTATTAAATTATTAATGTTACATATTTATTATTTAATATTTAAAAAAAAAGAGATAAATTTAATAAAAATAAAGTATAACTTCTTACGCGCGTACATAAGTACACGCACCCTTTTTTTTTGTTCTTCATTGACAAAGATTTTTATTTTTTTCAGTAATAACAAAATGTAACGAAATATGGCCATTGGATCTAAAACAGGCTCTACCGCAATATAAAGCGACGAAATTAACCAAATGCGATACAGAGAGAGAACTCCTCAATTATTTCATGGTGCAGTTTTGGAAACTTGACCCGGACTTGGTCGTCGGTCACGACCTGCAAGGTTTCCAACAGGACCTGCTCATAGGGAACGTACTGGACCTCAACATACCGAACTGGTCGCGGCTGGGCCGTCTGAAGAGATCTGTCGCTCCGCAGAGGAAATTCGCAGCGAAAGACGCGTTCTTGGGCCGTTTAGTTTGCGACGTAAAGATATCCGCAATGGAACTTATCAGGGCCCGGAGTTTCGATCTCGAGACGCTTTGCACTAATGTATTGAAAATGAAAGAGGGCGAGCGTATCGATGTGGCACTCGAGGATTTACCGAAGTACTATGAAAACAGTAGGGATTTATTCCAGCTCGTGTCGCTCAGTATGCAGGACGCGTCGTACGTGCTGAGGATAATGTGCGAGCTCAACGCTATACCTCTCGCTCTTCAGATCACGCAGATAGCGGGCAACGTCATGTCTCGAACCCTACTCGGCGGCAGATCTGAACGCAACGAGTTCTTATTGCTCCACGCCTTCACTGAGAAAAATTATATAGTACCTGATAAGATTTATGGCAAGAAGACAACTGCTGAAGACGGAATTCAAGAAGACCAAGAAGACGGTGCAAACGCTCCCAAGAAACAAGGAAAGAAAAAGGCGGCCTATTCCGGAGGTCTGGTACTAGATCCAAAAAAAGGCTTCTACGATAAACTAATCCTACTCATGGACTTCAATTCTTTATATCCTAGTATCATTCAAGAGTATAACATTTGCTTTACGACGATTAAAAGAAAAAACGGGATCATGTCCGATGAAGATGTGTCTAACCTTATATTGCCAGCACCGAAAACCGACTTGGGTGTTTTGCCCACGCAAATACGAAAATTGGTTGAAAGCAGAAGGGAAGTCAAGAAGTTAATGAAGTCACCGGATTTGGCGAGCGATCAATACATACAGTACAACATCCGACAAACTGCCCTCAAGCTAACGGCCAACTCTATGTACGGATGTCTCGGGTTTTCGCACTCTAGGTTTTATGCGAAGCCGCTGGCGGCGCTCGTCACAATGAAAGGAAGAGAAATTCTGATGGACACGAAAGAAATTGTCCAAAAAATGAACTATGACGTCGTCTACGGCGACACGGACAGTATAATGATCAACACTAATTGTCTAGATTACGACGCGGTTTTCAAAATAGGAGTGGATCTAAAAAAAGAAATAAACAAAAAATACAGACAAATTGAACTCGACATAGACGGCGTGTTCAGATACCTCCTTCTGTTAAAGAAAAAGAAATATGCGGCAGTTTTAATCAGCAGGAATAAAAATGGCGAATTCGTTTTCACTCAAGAACACAAAGGTTTAGACATCGTCCGTCGAGACTGGTCACAACTGGCCGCCGAAGCCGGGAAATTTATTCTTAGTCAAATCCTTTCCGAACAGACTCCCGATGATCGGTTGGAAAGCATACAAAATCATCTAAATAAATTAAAAGACGATCTGATCGGTAACAAAATGCCCCTCTCGGTTTTAACTATAACAAAGCAACTCACTAAAAACCCCAATGAATACGCTGATAAACATACGCAACCACACGTCCAAGTCGCATTGCGGCTTAACAGTAAAAACAGTAGGAGATTCAAAAAAGGCGACATTGTGCCTTACATTATATGTGAAGATGGAACCGCTAACTCAGCCACGCAAAGGGCTTACCACATAGAAGAATTAAAGAATTCCGAACATCTCAAAGTCGATTTTAAGTATTATCTAGCACATCAGCTACATCCTGTAATATCAAGAATATGCGAACCAATAGAAGGCATGGATCCAGCCCGCGTTGCAGACTGCCTCGGCCTAGATCCCTCCGGATACAAACAAGCTGTTAAAAGAGAAACTAACGACTCGGAAACGTATGAGGTCGAGAACGAACAAGAAAAGTACCGACAATGCAAAGAGTTTGTCTTCGAATGCGTCGATGAAAACTGTAAAACTTTGAACAGAGTACGAGAATCGATCTATAAACTGGACAAAGAGAACATTTCGTTTTTAGATCGCTGTCAGAATGAAAAGTGTAATGTGAAGCCGTTAGATTATTTATCTAGCGTGCAAAATCAGTTGAGCCTGCAAATTCGACAGTACCACGCACAGTACTATGCGGGCTGGTTATCGTGCGAAGACCCGGCGTGTGGACACCGTACCGCGAGATTGCCTCAGACGTTCGCAGGAGGCTACCCCCTTTGTAGACAATGTGAGAAAGGGGTCATGTTTCGAGAATATACAGAAAAAGATTTATATTTACAGATAAACTTTTTCTTGTTTCTGTTCGATCTCAGCAAAAGCAATAAATTAAGTAAGTTGAACCCTTATTGATATGATCTTAACTCTCTCTCACACAAAAACTTCCAAATATGCATGCAGCTGATACTATAAAACGTTATGGTTTTTTTTAATAATTAAAAGTCAACTTTACGATTACTGTTCTATATATAAATGTACATGTTTGTTTGTCTGTCGTCTATATTAAATCCATCCGATTGTGAACTTAGTACATTTTTAATAGTTCAGGGAATGTATGTCATAGTACCATCAATCGACGATAGATGTCGCGCCATTTTTTTAACGATCCATTTATGTCCTAAAATTAGCGAAAATTACAGTGAACATTGACAGGACTTAACTAGTGTGAAATAAACTTTCATTGGAACATAAAATCACTCAATTCGTAAGGCCATAAATTTAATCTATTTCGGAACGAAACTGGGTTTTTTTAAAAGTTTGATACATAAGTTTGATATAAAAATTTTACCATTCATATTTTTACTAAAGTGGACAGGAATTGAAATTTTCGAAATAAATATTTTATTTTTAATTTGGTACTGATGAGTATTGTGTTAGAAACAAATATAATACATTATTTTAGAGCCAGAATTATAGAAAAAGGTATAGAAAATAAAAAGAAGTCTTGTAGAAAAAAAGTATTTTTCAGTTCTAGAATGGATTGTGCTGCAGTACCAATTATTACTCTAATTAGGCAGCTGAATAATTTTAAATTATTAATTGTGCATTTATTATTTCAGAAGTACCAGTACCTCCAACGATTGTCTCAGCATTCGAAACGCTAAAGGAAATGGTTGAAGATTGTTTAGGGCATTCCGCCTACTCAATTATAAATTTATCAAAACTATTCAGATTTTTTACTTTGGACACCAAAGCCAACAAGATGAAGGCGGAACCGACTGATTTAGATATTCTCCCAGAAACTGAACAAATAGACGCTCTTCTGGAGATGGGTGTTTTCTAATGTTTTCAACTATTCAGTGTATCATATATATATTTTCAAATATACGATTAATAATAAGAACTGATATAAAATATCATGAATTTTTATTTATTTAATTACACTCTTACAAACAATCTTAATATATGTGTGTTCATATATATATAAATATATTTTAATACACAAAATGCTTTGTCATAGTTCATAAGTGTAAATAAAATTAATGGGGTGCTCCTCGGCCACGGCCTCGTCCTCGAGGTGCTCCAAACTTTCCTCTACCCCCACCTCTTCCTCTGCCTCTGAACTTTTTCGCGTTAACCCCATGCATCTGCTGATGTTGATTTTTTTCATAAATAACATTCAAATTTGCTTGCTGTCCTTGATGACTTTGGATATAATTGGCTTGATTGAAGTAATCGTGGGCGACACCTCGCTCCGCCTCTCTGTTATTTGGTATATTCGAATGTTGTTGATTCCACACCGGAGGATCAACAACTTGATTATAGTTTTCATTTAGATTATTCTGATTCATATTGTTCGGCAAATCCATAAGTGAAGGAATGCTGTTATTGCCTGACATGTTATGATTAATGTTTGCTTGGTTCGGAAGCGGACGCATCATTCGATTATTAATGTTTGGTTGGTTAAGATGTGGGCGCAACACTTCATTGTGACCCATATTATAAATGACGTGAGTGACCGGTTGATTTGGGTGCGGATAGATCGCGGTATTATTCTGCATATTTCTCGTCTGGTTATTGTTATAATTATGCGGCTCGCTAATATTGTAGGTATTTATTTGCGCTTCCGGTGCCCAAGGGGGAATATTAGTTACATTCTGAGGAGTTTGGGAGGGTAATAGGAGCTTCGACGGTGCTTCAGAAGGGTCCCCGAAAGATTTAGGTTGCATGTTGCTGGTGACAACATCTGAGGTCGGCTGCGAAGCGGTCACGGTTGACGTGGACTGTATAGAAGCCTGCACGAGTGCCAACAGGCCGGCGGCGGACGACAAGTTGCTCGTTAAGTTTTTAAGTAGATCGTCTTGTTGTTTGTCGTCTTGGATCGACTTTGTCTCTTCTAACGATTTTTTCACAATCTCCATCTCCTGTCTCATCTGGTCTTCTTTTACTTTTTGCGTTGCAGATTGAAATACCTACACAAGAGATTTATATGTAAGAAATGCTATTCTCAAAAAAATCTATACTGATATATAAATCTACAGTGGTTTTTACGGATGTTCCGATATAACTACTGAACCGTGCATCCGATTGACTTTAAACTTGGTATCAATGTAAAAAATACTTAATGGATAGGCTAATATTTAAATCAGTGTTGGACTCCCTACACCAGTTGCGGGGGCGTTAATGATCAGAATCTTTTATTTTTATTTATTTATTCATTTATGTACACACAGAAAAAGAGACATAGTACAGAGTAATAGGAAAATTATGTACAAAGGCACTGCTTATTTCTTTAAGAAATCTCTTCCAGCAGACCTGCGAGAGGATAATGAGAATAATAATAAAAAGTGATGAGTGTGTGTAGAACAAATAACACATAACTAAAATAACAAATACAACATGAGAATTATAGTAATTCTTGTGGGGGTGAGAAATAATAATGTTAATTTTAAATGCCCAGCGAAGGGGACGGATACAGCTAGTACTTTATAAGATTTTTATGTATCACAGATGGAATCTTACCTCGTCTACGGTGTAGTCATCATCGTCGCTTTCAACGGCGACGATGTTGTTTTCAGGTGTACTAAATTGGTTCGAGAGAGCGACGGGCGCGTTGACGTATTGCCGCAGTCTCTCTACACGCTGAGGCTCGCGAGCTTCTAATTTCTTCAGGTAAGCGATCAAACTGTGCTGCTCCTCCACAGATAATTCGTTGAAGTTTTTCAATAAAGTTTCAAGGTCGGAATCTGACAAGCCGTCCATTGCATCGGGCGGATCTTCTTTCTCCAATCTGTTTATTTTAAAACCATACATACACATCCGTAATAGTAATCGATTACACGACAATTTACTTAAATAAATTAGTTTAGTTAATTATCATAATATTCATATTATTAGTTTCCGGCGGCGGAGGAGCAAGCTCTAATTACATATTATGTCAGAATGGAACGTACGTCCAAGTATTCGGTGGATGACATGACATATTTTCATCGATTTTTGAGATTCTAAAAAGAACATTAAAACGACTTTTACGGTTTGTTACGACTTTAATTTTTCGGACGTTTTGAATACTTCACAGTTTTTAAGGCCACGGAAGACTGCGAAAATAATAAATCCGATATTTAAAGTCAATTTAATTCGACTTCATTTTTAAAAGAAATACTTAAAGTACTAGAAGTCGTCGTGGCCTAAAGGATAAGACGTCCGGTGCGTTTGTGTTGATCGATGTACCGGTGCTCGAATCCCACAGGTGGGTACCAATTTTGCTAAGGAAATACGTACTCAACAAATGTTCATGATCAACTTCCACGGTGAAGGAATAATAAAAATTAAAACCCGCAAAAATTATAATTTGCGTAATTACTGGTGGTCGGACCTCTTGTGAATCTACACGAGTAGGTACCACCACCCTGCCTATTTCTACCGTGAAGCAATAATGCGTATCGGTTTGAAAGGTGGGGCTGCTATTGTAACCATATTTAGACCTTAGAACTCTCAAGGTGGGTGGCGCATTTACGTTGTAGATGTCTTTTTTTTCCCTACCTATGCTGATAGCCTTGGGAAGCAAGCTATTTCAGCTTCATCCTAATGGAGTGTTAGGATGAAGTTCCATCAACCGGAGTGTTGCTAACACTGACCCTAGCAAAAACAGTGCTTCGTAGAATCTACCACCGGATCGGAAACGCAACCCACTGAGAAGATCCGGCGAGAAACTCAGTGGGCTGTGTCTATGGGTTAATTCGCTCGTCGAACCCTTCGTCGCCAGCGACGGGTTCGACGAGGACGGTGACTGGTGCTTGTGGTGCCTAAAAGCATCGTTAATGGATCGGGGGTGTAGATGTCTATGGGCTCCGGTAACCACTTAACGCCAGGTGGGCCGTGAGCTCGTCCAACCATCTAAGCAATAAAAAAAACTGAATATCTGGGCGGTTCTTACTTCTTTTCATTATCATCATAAGCCGACTGCAAGAGTTGCAATGCGGAAGTGGAAGCGGCGGCGGCATCGCTGTCCGCAGTGGCGGCGGCGCGGCGCTTGGCCTCCGCCATCCCCACCACGGCGTCGACGAGCTGCGACAGTTCGTCGGCGGAGACATCGGTCTTGCCCTGCGCCACGAGCGCGGCGGCGAGCTGGGCCGCGATCTGCGCGCGGTCCACCTGCCCCACGCCCGCCACCGGCACCGCGGCGCCCGCACCCCCCGCGCCGCCCGCCGCGAAGGTGCTCTTGTTCTTTTCCTGCGCGATCATATCATGGCCGTGATCAATGATTACAATATTACCGTAGATTGGGGGGTGTACGGTTTGTCCACACAACCCTCTGTGGTGATAATGATAACAACTCCAATACTGATTAAATGTTTATTGATATGCTTACACTGATTGGTTACTGTTTATATGATAAAAATGACATTATGCGAGTACGCGACGCCTTGCTGATGGCGGTACACGAACTGACTCGAAAATGAATGACTTTGATGTAAAATGCATCGGTATGCAACATGATGTGCGCACTGGCCCGTACAGGGAGAATAGGGACTAGGGATAGAATAGTGACAAATCTGGGTTGTCACAATGCTTTTATGAGATTTAAATTTGTAGAATTGAAAATTACTTTTATTTAGTGTTTATGAATATTAAATAGTTTAATTTAGTCATCAAGGTTTTGTAACTGATTAAAGATATTGAAAAGTTAATTACCTAAAGGTAATCTACCTAACAACTAAACAGTGCCAGCCCTATCGAAAAACTCTATTGTCCCCATATGTGACCCGATTCACCCTAAAAGCCAAGGTGGGTCAGGTTTTGTATATATTTTTCAATTAACTATGTATAATAATGGATCGTATATGAAAATTTTAACCTCCGGAAACGTTTTAATCTCAATTTTATTGATATTCCCCTAAAAAACCACTAAAAATTTGTGTTGGAATTGGAAAACGTCCCAATTCCCCCAATCAACTGTACGCGATCAGGATACGTTCACATACTCTAAATCTTTCTTAGAATTATCATTAAATGAAAGAAGTTGTTTACTATGCAGGGGATGAACCAATATTAAGTCTCACTTTTGTTATTTAACCTTTGATATGGGCAAGCAATGGTTCATATCCTCCCCACAGGCTGCGTGAGTGTGCGCTCAACTTCGCGCCATGTCGCAGACGAGCGAAAGGGGGTGCGACCCCCTTCCATCTCACATCCAACGTTAATCAATTAGTAAATTATAAATTTTCCTGTTCAGTTCGGATATTTACAGAAACAAATGTGCAAATTGTTTAATAAATCGGAAAAAAATGTTTTACTTCCGCTAGCCTAGATGCAATTGCACTCTTGGGAAATTGTTCCAGAAGGCATATTAATAATATTCTTATTTTGAGACCATAACCAGACACTGGGAGACATTGTACATTACAAGGTATATAAATGGCATTTCCATAATCTAATCTAGTTACGTCTATGATTATTGTCGTCCCAGGACAGAACACGCGTACCCAGAGCCGGATTCAAACTTAATGGCACTCCTGGGCACCGGAAAAAATCCGCCCCAATACTGGAATTCAGTTTATATATTTTATTTTTCAAAATTAAAAAAACTAATTGATGCAGAAACGTTATCATATTATGTTATATATTCCAAAAACATAAATATTTGTTTTTTTTTTCTAACAATTATACATTTTAAACTAAGGATGACTCATAATTATATTACATAAAAAAAACTAATTAAATTTCTTTAATTCCTTTCCTTCTTGAATTACTTTAATTTCTTTAATAAAGAAAATAGACAAATCGATTATTATTTTAAATATCCAAGGAAATAAATTGGTTGAATTATTTTGATTATATTTTTTTACCAAAAGTACCAAACTTATAATTCACAAATAATGGATGAATTGAATTTGTTGAATTATCAATTAAACAGAAAATAATTAATTAATAGAATTAATTAATTATATTGAGCAATCTTGACAAGACCTAAAAAAAAGTTTTTCACTTTCAAAATGTTGCCGCCCTGGGCACTTGTCCCGACACGAGTGCGCGTACCTGCTGGCGGCGCTGGCGCGTGTCGGCGGCGTGCAGCGTGCGCGCGGCCCGCAGCAGCGCGGCGCGGGCGGCGGGCGCGGCGGTCGGCGCCACGAGCCCGGCCTGCACGCTGCCCTTCAGCTTCTCCTTCGCGGTCTCCAGCAGCACCACAGCCGACTCGCGGTCTAACAACTCTTCCGATGAATTCGGCCTATCCTATAAAACAATGTAATTTATAAAAAGATTCACAACGAGACTAAATGATAACAAGCGAACGATAAATCTGATAAAAAAATCTATAAAAATTTTTTATAACTTATATGGGTGGACGAGCGAGCTCACAGCCCACCCGCTGTTAATTGGGTGCTGGAGCCCATAGAGATCTACAGCGTAAATGCCGCCACCCACCTTGAGGTATAAGTTCTAAGGTCTCAGTATAGTTACAACGGCTGCCCCGCCCTTCAAACCGGAACGCATTACTGCTTCACAGCAGAAATAGACAAACTTGTGGTACCTACTCGTACGGACTCACAAGAGATCCTACCACCAGTAATTATGCAAATTATAATTTTGCGAGGTTGATTTTTATTACACGATGTTATTCCTTCACCGTGGAAGTTAATTCAACGCGATCAGCTTACATAGATAGTTCGCTAATAATTTCGTCACACGAGTGTATTTTATGTAAAAACAGTGAAACGTTAGTTATTTAACGTACGTGTTTACCTTTTCCATTTTTAACGCTTCAGCAAGTAGATCTATGACGCGGGGCCCCAGGCTGCCGAGGTAGTCTTCGAGCGCGATGAGCAGACGCAGCGTGGCGACAATGTTCTCGGGCGGGCCGAGGTCCTGCGGGTCGGGGGCGGGGCCCGGCTCGCGGCTCTCGGGCGGCGGGTCGCGGCGCGCGCGGGCGGGGGGCGCGCTGCTGCGGGAACGGACCGTCGGCATCGAGCACGTCGACTCCATGTCGTCAGAGTTCCACGGGGACAGGTCGTCCCTGTATAAACAAATATATTTGAAATGAATATATTTGGATGAATATTTTTACTGGTGGTAAGACCTCTTGTGAGTCCGCACGGGTAGGTACCACCACCCTGCCTATGTGTGCCGTAAAGCAGTAATGCGTTTCGGTTTGAAGGGTGGGGCAACCGTTGTAACTATACTGAGACCTTAGAAGTTTTATCTCAAGGTGGGTGCCGACATTTACGTTGTAGATGTCTATGGGCTCCGGTGACCACTTAAAATCTGGTGGGCCGTGAGCTCGTTCACCCACACAAGCAATAAAAAAAAGAGCAAAAACAAAGACGAAAATGATTTAATATATATTTTTTCCTAGTCAACAGTTGCCAGCGTCCATATAGACCACAATATAAATGCAATTTGTCCAAGATATAAAACACAGTCTCGAACGTATTGGATAACGGTTTCCTTACTATACCAAAACAAGGGCCTGGCTACTCGCGATAAAAATAAGCAAAACGATTCTATTATTTATTTAATTATACAAACGCATTGTCATTTTCGTTATCTATATATCTATACTAACTGACAGGGCAAACGTTGTGTTGCCTTAAATAAGATTTCTAGGGAAATTCTAGTGTAGAAAAAAAAACCTCATTCAACCACATAATACCTTATTATAACAAAAAAAAATTTATCCAAAAAATAAAAAATAAAAAAATGTTTGGGGTAGGGGTATGAAAAATAGATAGTAGCAGATTTTCAGACCTACTGAACATACTATTGATACACAAATAAAACCAAAAAAACATGGCTGGCAAGCTACGAAAAAACATGGCTGAAAAATGTATAGTAAGACAGGAGACCGGCTTCGTCCTCATCCCTACTACGTGATGTTTGCTAGATGAGTGGTGACGCCTGGCGGGGATAACTGATCGATTGATAGTTGATCAGTAGTCGACCGGCGAGAGCGGGAGATCAAATTGAATTTAAAAAATAATAATAATTAAAGGAACTTGAAATTATAAACTCTGATTTATCGTACTACAATTATAATATTTGTTTGCCATCTTGCAACATTATTGCGGATATGAGCATAGAATAAAAAATAAAAAAATAGGGTTTGATCGTATAAGAGTGAAAACTGAGAGTAATATGATTTTTTTTTATTTTAAGTCATGACAAAATAAATAAAAAATTCTTGCCAAATAAAATTAAAGTTTTTAATTAACAAATAAAAAATAAGGGTTGATCGTAGAGGGGTGAAAATTTAGGGTTGTGTGTATTTTTGTATGCTGTATCAAAAAAAAAATCAAAAAAATTGTCTAAAAAACAAAAATATTTTTTTTTGGGTTGGACCACCCTTAACATGTAGGGGGATGAAAAATAGATGTTATCCGATTCTCCACCTTGGCCGATATGCACGCTATGATTCACGAAAATCAGTCGAGCCGTTTCGCAGGAGTTCAATCATGCACACCGTGACACGAGAATTTTATATATGTATTACATAAATAGGCAAAGAAAACAGTTCACTGCCTTGTTCCCCCCAATTTATCAGTTTATGTTAATTTTTGGTAGCTAGTTACGAGCTCTGTTTGTTTGTTTTTTAAATAGATTATTAACGTGAAGCGTGTGGTAATGGAGGGGCAGGGTACGTACGGCTTGAGGTCGTCGTCCGAGATGAGGACGGTCTGCATGGCGGGGGAGGGTGCGGGGGAGGACGCGGGGCTGCGGTTGCGCAGCGGCGCGGCGCCGGCGCGGCACGACAGCGGGCTGCGGGACCGCCCCGACGACTCCATCCTGTGCAACGAACAATACATTATTATACACCAGTGATGGGCAAACATTTTTAATGGCGGGCCACAAAGTTTAAGAAATTCTAAAGGAGGGCTAGAATTATAGAAAAAATGCATTTTGTATTAAAGCTTTTTAATAAACAAAATATATTTTACTATTACGCCTTTTTAGGCGTGTGAGACGTGAGGCATGTGATAGATGGGTGAAAAGAATGGTTGTTTTCCAATAAATAAACTAATACCTGTGACAGACTGCCGAGATAATTATGATGATGACAAGTTAATTATGAGATAGTGAAAGCTCAAAACACCCTGACGAATTGGAGCTTTCATTAAAAATTCGAAGATTTTCAATTATAAACGTCAATTTTATTTTCCGCGCCAAAATGCTGACTAGAATATTTAGGATGGGTGGACTCTCGGCGGGCCGGATTAAATACTTCCGCGGGCCGGAGAGGGCCCGTGGGCCGTACTTTGCCCATCACTGTTATATACGGTTCCTACCTTCTAAGACAACTCTATTTACGTAGTTATATAAATCCTGATTAACGGGCGTTGGTTATTATTATACGATAGGCAGCGGCTTGGCTCTGCCCCTGACATTGCTGAAGTCCATGGGCGACGGTTACCACTCACGATCAGGTGGGCCGTATGCTCGTCTGCCAGCAAGGGCAATAAAAAAAACCTTTCGTAATTATTATACTTCATAATTCTCCTGTCTTTCTCCCAGTCACCTGTCGACGGCGCAACATGTTTTCTCCTTCCAAACTCCTCTATCATATACCATTTCTTCGCTCACTCCCCTCTTTCACATATTGTCGTAATTTATACTTATAAACACAAAATCGAGACAAGCCATGCTAGTCTGAAATGCTACCCATCAGCAACTAAAGATAAGTTTTGAACTATGTATAATAACGCACTGTATATCAAAACCCATTTTAATCTCAATTTTATTGGTAATCCCATAAGAAAAACCATTGAAAATTCGTGTTGGATTTGGAAAGGTTCCCGATTCCCCCCAATCTACGATACCGGCCATTTTTTATTGCTGCTTACCTGTGCGGCGTGCGAGAACGCGTGCGCGAGCGGGAGCGGGAGCGGTGCGGGCGCGGCGAGCGGCGACGCTCCGGGGAACGCCGATAGTCCGATATCCTATACGTAACATGTATTGAATTTATAAATCGACGCTTGAAAGGCAAACGTGACTAAGCGACAACAACTGCTTTATACATAAATGATAGGCAATAACCATATTCGATGCGCAAAAAATATATATTTCTAGGTGTATTAAAATCATTTCAATCCTACAGCTAGATTCGTTAAAATTGAATTTGTTTCAGGTATTTTAAGTTTTAATTAGTCTACTGTAAAGTTCACGCATTGTCACTTAGTCACGTTTGCCTTTCAAGCGCCGATATGTATTTGCAAGTTTATGTGTTATCGTAATTCGTAACACGACAAGGCAGAAATCGAACTCGGATAAATAATAGTTTAAAAAAACGAACAAAATACACTTTTATAGAACAACCAACCAAAAAAATAGAAAATAAATTTTAATAATTTTGAATTAAAAATAATGTGAGAAAAAATGATTTTATTGTAAAAGTGTATTTTATTAGTTATTTTAAACTATTATATGTTTTTAATTTTTTAGTTAAATTTAAATTTTTTTTAATACTGAATTGTCATCGGTCCTTAATAAGTATACCGAATTTCGAGTTAAACTGACATTTTGAAGGGGGTCAAAATCATGTTCGAAGATTCCGATACAAACATACATACGTCTGAAGCTAATAAAAGCGTATTAAAAAAGAAATCAACCAGTATATACGTACATCCGTTCCCTCCTGTAATCGCGTTTGTAATCTGGGGTCCTGCGTCGGGAGACGGGCGACCTTCGTTTCACCTCTGGAAATCTGCTTCTCGGAGGTCTTCTGTCGGGCGACCTCGACCTTCTCTTCTCCGGAGGTCTTTGTTTCTCGGGAGAAATTCGCTTTTTGCTCTCTGCCGCTTTGGGTTTGACGGGCGGCGGCGACAGGCGCATCCTGCGGTAGATTTCGTCCACACGGACCTGCAGCTCCTCGTCGTGTAACTCCTTCATTCGTTTCGTCCAGAACACGATCCACTCGGACTTGAAGTCGTGCTTGGACGGATCTTTTCCCTCTGTTCCAAATAGTAAAACGTATTTATTATAATTATCTTATCTTATACCTTTAAACGGTCAATTCTTGTATATATAATCTGAATCTAGGAAACGGCTTCAACGATTTTCATAAAATTTAATATACAGGGGATTTCGGGGCCGATAAATCGATCTAGGTACGAATTATTTTCAGAATATATTGTTTTATTCGTGTTTTCAATAATCAACTTTATCGATAATAAACTTTATGACTCTCCCCGACATCTATTGGCGAATAATAATACTATTTTTCTTAATTGAGAGCAACTAACTGCTGTAAAGACTTCAGAAATAACACTTCAGCAGATGGCGTTGTTAAGTAACCCGAAGCCAATGAGTGTTTGGGTTAAGGTTAGACCAAGAAAATGAATTGTTTATTTATATTATTTGTGTCTTTTTAACTCACGTGATCACTTAAAAACGCCTAACCGATCTTGGAATATTTCATCATTTTATCAATATGTAATTCGTGTTTAAATATAATTTCTAAAAAACACAATTTATAGAAAAAAAAAGTTCGAGAAAAGCTCGATCATCATCTAGTTATTTAAGCGTGAATCAATTTTTTTTGTATTTCAGCAGATAGACATATTTCGTAAACCATAAACGATTGAATAAACTGCTTAAACATAATAATAATTTCAGTAATTAACTGACCGCTCTGTATCTGTTTGTAGCGTTTATTCCAAAACTTCTTCCACTCTTCGGGGTAGAGGGGGTGCTTCTCGGGGTTCTTCTCGTGGTACCGCAGAGTTTTCTCGGCGGACTCCTCGGCTTGACGCTTCTGATCTTCGGCCAGGGCCGCTTTGTATTTGTAATGCGAGCTTTTCTGTAACGTAAGTTTTCAATTACTAATGAATACCGCATCGATTCTATGCCAGCGCATTCGTATAGTTTAGACAACTTACTATTTTTGTCAGTTTATTTGTTATCATGTAACATTTATACACACTTTTAAAGGCTTTTCAGGTCATTACCAATGTTTTGCGAATTTTGAAGAAAATTTAAATTTTACGTTTTTTTTTTATTGTTTAGATGGGTGGACGATCTCAGAGCCCACCTGGTATTAAGTGATTACTTGAGCCCATAGACATCTACAACGTAAATGCGCCACCCACCTTGACATATAAGTTCTAATAAGGTCTCAGTATAGTTACAACGGCTGCCCCACCCTTCAAACCGAAACGCATTACTGCTTCACGGCAGAAATAGGTGGAGTGGCGGTACCTACCCGCGCGGACTCACAAGAGGAACTACCACCAATGTGACTTTTACACAATATGAAACACAAATAAAACATATGCTAATCGACTAATGGTACACTTTAGGAGAACAAACCCACGTACCTTATCGGTGGGCTCTTCTTTATCGTCAGCAATCCAGGTGTACCTGGAGCGGTGCGGCGCGGCGGTCGGCCCCTTGTACGGCTCGTGTCTCGGCTTGGCGTGGCCGGAGACAGTACGCTCCCTGAACATTAATGGTAAAATAAAAAAACTTATTGTTTTTCTACACCCTGAAACAGAGATACAGCTTAATTAAGGTCTAACTAATTTAATAACAGAATAACACCGCACTCACTATAAGGCGCTAAATTAAATAAAATTCAGATAAATTTAGTGTTACCAGACAAAAAAAAGAACAAAAAAAAAGTGTTTTTTTTCTCCCAAATTGTAGAAGTTAGTAAGTAAATGTATTTAATATAATATATAAAAAAAAAAACAAATTTAGCTCAACCCTGTAATGCTTGTCAACAACATTAGACCAATGTAATGAAACTATTATATTATCATCGATCCTTGATACGTCTGCAAGTATTTTAACGTTCTCGATAGCGCAAAAGTTGACTCAAATTTATATGGAGTTGGAACGTTTGCCTACGTTTGCTGCTAGGGGTGCTGTTTTAACTGCATACAAATTTGAGTAACTTTTACGCTATCGAGAACGTTAAGAACTCGCACTAAGCACACAGGTGTGATCAATGCGCTAGTATCTCGTGAGTATATGATCGTGTCACGTACCTGTACTTGGTTCTGGTGGGCGCCGGTCTGTGCTCCTCGTCGCTGATGTCCGACAGAGATTCTATAGACTGCGCGCGCACTCTTTGATTACGCTGTGAACAAAGATAATATCATATCGTCACTGTCAAACCAAAGTCTGCTATGTGCAAAAACTCTATTTTGAATTAACGAGTAAAAACATTTTCGTATAAAATTTGATATGAAGGTGAATTTTTAAGATCTATATCAAATGAAAGCTATAGATAAATGGACCGTTTATTTTGAAAGTGATGTAAGTCCATTTTCTTTTGTTTCGAGAAAATTAAAGGTTACTATATTTCTTGATTTAAAAATACAGGCAAATCATATGAGGTCTGGCTATGCCACCTACCTCTGTCAATTGGACTTACACCACTTTCATAATCGATGATTATGCAATTTCATTTACCGACCGATTTTAAGTTGTACAAAACATGGGATTTTTTTGAAAAATTAAACACGGACTAGTTATATATAAAAAATTTACATTAAATGAAGCATGAATTACGTGATAGCTCATTTTTTCTCAAAAATAGAAACTTAACAGTTTTTTTTTATACCGTAGATAGGGCTGTGAACTATACGAAATGGTCAAAAAGTAAAAATCTCAAAAAGTGCACATAGCAGATTTTTGTTTGACAACGCCGATATGTCAATAATGTCACTTTATTTAGACATACAAACAACTCTTGTTTAATTCAACATTATACTGTACATTTTTACGCAGAAAATGATAACCGCTTGAATGCGGACCGGATAGTCACTCCCTGCTGAGGGACGTCGCTGTTATTTTAAAAGTCACATGAAATGTCACAATTTTCTAATATTTATTTTAACTACCCTGCTTTTTATGATAATTAAGGCTTGAAGAAATACGTATAAAGCTGCACACTGCACCGTATAAAATAAAGTTTTTTCCATGACAATATTTGAAAAATGAATAGCGTTTTTTTTTCCTACATATGTTGATAGCCTTAGAGAGCTGTGCTAACATTATCGCACTAATAGGTGAGCTCGCGGGGCCTTAAACTGAGGACGTTGCTAACCCTGACCCTAGCAAGAGCAGCGCTTCGCAGAACCTATCATCGGATCGGAAACGCGACCCACTGAGAAGATCCGGCGAGAAACTCAGTGGACTAGAATAGCTCGTCAATCGCACTTACTTTATATGATTTACTGGGAGCAGACACGGACGGCGGGGAAGGGTCTCGTTTGCCCCTGAGAAAAGACACACAAAATCAAAACGTTAATTACATGTGGAAGGTTTTACGACGTAGAGATCTTCTACCGAGCGGATGATATAGCTCGGTGCACCGACGGTCTCAATGCTGTCGTTCAGATCTTTTATATATACAAGCCCATCTTGAAAATGTCGTTAGCGAGATTCAGGCATCTGTCAAATATCTTGTGTCTATGGTAACTACCGCCATATACAAATTAAATGTCATGAACCCTTTTAGCGCTCAGTTTATTTTCACATTTTTTCCCTACCTATTTGCTAGTAGCCTAAAAGGGCCTATTCCAGCTACGCCCGGACGGGTAGGTGAGCTCACGGGCTCAACCTGAGAGAATTTGCTAACACTAGCCCTAGCAAGAGCATGCCTCGGAGAATCTACAACCGGATCGGAATCGCGACCCACTGAGAAGATCCGGCGAGAAACTCAGTGGACTGTGTCTATAGGTTAGTTCGACGAGGACGGTGACCGGTGCTTGAGAGGCCTAAAAGCACCGGTTTTCACATATTTAGCAGAAATAGGTAAAGGAATTTTGGAAAAAATGGAAACTATAAAAAAATAGTAACTTAAAAAAATATACAAAAATCAATGCAAAATTCACAGAAGAATAATTTTAAATGCTAAGACACGACCGTACAGGTCGATACCCAATACCTATAATCAAACTGCACAATAGTCGGTATTCCGACTTGCTATTATTTTGCTATTATATTGCTATTACGGATGGTAACTTAAAATAATATAAAGCGATTAATTTATAGATACGTTATCTCTTATCTTAGTGTTGCTGTTTTCAAAAAATACTCACGTATTTTCGTAATCTGAAACAAGCATACGTTTGATTAGTATTCGATCATTAATCATGTTACAGTACAGATTATTTCAAAACCCGTATCGACCGTATGTCGGGCCTATTGTACCTTTGAAGTCGGATCGCCGGGCTGCTTCGTGGCAGAAACAGGCCAGACTAGTGGATAGTCTAAGTCAATATAACCTGCGCCAATAAAGAAACGAATCGAAAATGGCATCTATGTACCTGCACTGATAGATGGTAGGGTCGACAAATAAAAAGAATGATCGGAAGACAAAAGTTGTTTATTGTAAAAAAAAATAAAAAAAAACAAATGAGAATATACTTTAGTTTACTTTAGTGCCCTGGCAGAGGGGGAGGTGTCTCATCTGGTATGCAACTTGCGTAGACACTTTTGGTGCCAGTCATCTAAGTCGCACAACTCGAACGGCCGAAAGATAAAAGTCAGAACTGATATTTTTTTGCATGCAGTACGCGCCGTGTGCGACTAAAGACAGCAATAGTTTAGAGTGAGAGCACATGATCGCTGCCGCCATTTTAGATTCGCTTCTTTACTGGCGCGGCTTATACCAACACAGCATCCACTAGGCCATGCTGGTTCACAGGATTAAAACGACAAATGCTAAGTTGTCTTTATTGCCCTTTCGGATAGAGATCAGTTCTCTGGCACTCCAATTAGGAGAATAAAGAAAATAAGCAAACTTAATAAAATTTCGCTTGAAGCGATCATGTGACTTCATTGAATCAACGAAGAAAAAAATTTATGTTTTACATAAGTGTCATATACTTACTCTTGCGTAAAGATTGTATCAGATCAATATCCACGACATCTTCGAATGAACAAAGCTCTTTTCCTTTAAAATGATCGGTTCTGTGTATCCATGTATTAATAGACTCCCTGGAAGAATTAAAATGAATTATTGTTTATAACATTAGCTTTTAAACTACTAAACTAAATACTAAAAAGAAATTCCTAGCAGTTTCAAATATTAACATCCGACCTTTTGCCTCTAGTATCATTAAAATGAGTTATTGTGTATAGCGTTGGATTTTACACTACAAAAAAGAAAATCCTAGCAGTTTTTTTTATTGCTCAGGTAGGTGTACGATATCACGGCCTATTTGGTGTTAAATGGTTACCCAAGCCCATAGTTAAGACAATGTATATGCCGTCACCTACCTTGAGATACAAGTTCTAAGATATCAGTTTTTACAGTACGGCTGCCCGCCTTTCAAACCGAAACGCATTAATACTTCACGGTAGAAGTAGGCAGGGCGGTGGTAGCTACCCGTGTGGACTAGCATCCTGTGCGGACCAGTGCGGACAAGACATCCTACTATCAGTTAAAATATTAACATCAGATCTTTTGTCTCTGTTATCGGACATGACATTGACAATTACTGCATCCATGCAGTAATGGAAATATATTTATGTATAGAGGTTTAGTGTTGGGCGCCAGTATCACGAGACAACACGGGGCTCTTCTTTTTTTCCCTACCTTTGCTGATAGCCTTGAGAGGCTATTCCAGCGTCGCCTTGACGTATAGGTGAGCTCACGGGGCTCAAACTGGAGTGTTGCTAACAATGGCCCTAGCAAAAGCAGTGCTTCACAGAATCTACCACCGGATGGGAAACGCGACGGGCTGTGTCTACGGAACGGGGCACTAGTGCTGGGAGGCGTACTTGTTCTTGTCGTATTCGTCCTTGTCGATGTGCGCGGGGCGGTGGCGGCCGTACGTGTCCTCGACGCGCTGCACGAAGCGGTGCACCACCACGCTCACGCCCTCGCGGTACAGCTGCTGGTTGCGGTACGGCGCCAGCAGCTCGTACGCCTTGTGGAAGTGACGTTGCTGCGGGCGTCACATGACATTATATAAGCTGCTCAACGATTCGTTGTTGAAATAAAGATACTTACAAATAAAATTATAGTTCCCGTTAAAATTGAAGAAATATAAAAAAAAATTAGTAAAATTTGGCAAACAGAGACGGCAGCACTGACGTTAGGTAAATAAATAAAAAAAGAATCCGACTGACCCAATTCATTGTCTTATAGTTAACACACGGTAGACAAATTAGATAAACAATTAAATTAAATTATAAATTGATGGTTAGAGTAGTTAAAAAGCGTAATAGATACTTTATTTCAAACAACTTTTTACAGATACAGTTTAATACCTTAACCTAACGAAGTTTGAATATATTTTTTTCGTTTGACAATGACCTTGACTGCCTTAGGGTCGTAATGCGAGTGGGCATTTTTCATATATAATTGTTTCAAAAGTTTGAAGTTTATTTTTTCAATAACATTAAATTTAATATTGAAAATCAATATAATTAGTGTTTTTGTTCGTTTCGGATATTTTTTCAGTGGTTTCCTTCGAAACTGAACCGAACCGAGCAATAGCGTCGAATAAAATGCAAGACTAACGATGTAGTTGACGCGGTGCCAGTAGGAGGTCATGTGGTTGATGATGGTGCGCGGGTGGCCCTGCTTGTTGCAGAGCACGCACAGGTAGCAGGGCTCGGAGTGCCCGTCCTCGGGCGGGTGCTCTATGAGGTACTCGATGCCGGGCAGCGGCGCTCTGGGAACACGAGACGGTCCACTGCTTACTACAGTATCGGCACGCTGTGATGGCCGTTTTGACATATTACAATTTTTTTTAAAGGGATTTTATGACCTGGTAACTAAGACCTTTAAGTAATGTCTTATTTTAATTTATATTTTTATTGACGTATTACATAGTGATGTGAAATGTCAGTTTATTCTCGAAAAATATATAATGAAGTGTATAAGTTTTTATTGTAAGTAGGACCTGATTAAAAAGATTTAATAAAACCAAAATAGAAATCATTACTTAATATATTTGAACGATCTGAATATTGGGAATGAAAATGAATATAAATACTTTATATGCACACAAGAAACAAATTAATTGATTAAACGAGACCAGAAAAAGGTGCCACAAAAGGTTATATTTAATCAGATTTGTTCATACTGCTATTTTCACTGTCGTCAATACTATCATCACCTACATTAATAAAATTATAAGTTATTTTAATTTTGTGTCCTAAAATAATACTTTCGATAAATTATATAACTGCACGTCACTATTGACAATAAAGAACAGGATTTTCTCCTTCAAATGTAATTACTATTAATACGAAACTTCATGAGTGGACCAACGTCAAAACCGCCATCATAGCGTGCTGGTAGTATTACTGTTCAATTTCTGAACGTCAAAGTGTCAGCGAGCGACGTCCGCCATGACACCAACGCTCTTTTAAATCCAGCCGTCCAGAGCAAACGCATTAATTTTATATTTCTCTTAAATTCAGTCTTTCAATTTGTCATATAAGGGTAAAATAAATATCACAAAACAATAAATACAGTCCACGCTCGATTGCCACAACGCAAGACTAACGATACATTTTCTAAAGGTTATTGAAGAAAAGACCATCGGTGAGCTAAAGTGTAAGACCATCAGCGCATTATTATACGAAGCGACAATGCCGGTTTTCGAATCACCCAGACTGTAACTGAGTACTGGATACTGTAGGGATCCCAAGTTACTAGCGCTATGATATGTCCTTCTTCAAACTAGGCTGGTGGAGAGTGCTTAATGGTAGGCAGCGGCTTGGCTCTGCCTCTTGTATTGCTGAAATCCATGGCGACGGTAACCACTCACCATCAGGTTAGCTGTATGCCTGCAAGAGCAGTAACAAATAAAAAAGTAGCTTCCCAGAAACGAAGAATGCTATATTGGCTGGAGCCAAAGGTATGTTTCAGGTAATATTTCAGGTATAGCGACTGTCTGTCTGTGTATTAAACATCACAAGTATCTTACTTGACATCGTCAATGATGTCCTGTATGTGGCACTTCACTTTCCTGTACTTCTCATACTTCTTTTCGACATCTTCCAAATTCTTTTTATGGTAATCTACTTCTTCGGCCATCTTTTGTAGTACCCTCTGAGTCGCTGTAACTGTAATATTCACATCTTATTTTAGATTACATTCATTAATGTGGGAATACGGAAAACATTAAAGTGACTAGATAGTTTAAGAACTGCTAAAGGTAGGTAGGAGGTAAGAAGTATATTTAATTCTCGACAATAACACACATACGGTCTTATTCCCTAGATATCGGAGGTTTATAAGCCTGTTACTACATTGTTATTCATAACCGTTCAATAAAAATAAAACGCTCATTAACAATCACGTAAAATGGATAGAGTAAGAGTCATTTTAAGCCCACGATAAATGTTCGATAGAACAAATATAGCCACTATATAGATCAGATGTTTTAGCATTAAAGTTAGTTAAAAATGTCTGGTGTCTATTTATAAACTGGGATCCACTTATCGTGAATTTGAAACCCCAAGTCAAACAAACAGAAAGACCTCAAGATTCTGTCATTTCTTGTTCAGTGTTATTCAGATGTTAATTAACAATTTGTACTGAATTTCAAATGTCGTTATATAAGACATTAGCCGTCCACGTGGCCAAGAAAACTGTAAGTAACTATACCAATTGCCAGAGATAATAAAAATAAAATAACATACACGATGTTACATCGTAAAATGTGAAATGTAAGTCGTGAAAATCTAAAACCGGTGACGTAGTGAATTTCATATATTAGTTCATACTAGTGGTCCCTATGTAGTCAAAATTCGACTATAATCGGACTCTGTTGTCAGACTATTATACTTCTATAATCACAGATTTCGCAAAGACTACACTATAGACAAATAATAATAAAGAGAAACAATATTTAATCTATTCTCAATTTGATCACAGACTTTAAGCAATAAGAGAAGTTTGACAATAAACAAATAGTAGGCATGCGTGTGTGTGTCAAATACATGGGTAGTGTGTGTAATGTTTTTTTTATTGGTTTAATGTACATATTTTATATGCATAATTTAAAAAAAATTAACATTCTGCACTCCTTCTCTACATTTTCTATAAGCGTGGGAAATTTCATACTCCTCTGTCCGCGCAATTTTCGTAAAAAGGGGTACAAAGTTTTTGCTTCACGTATTAATATGTAGATAGAAACATACCCATGCTTTTTGATTGCTTCTGAAGGAAATGGTGCTCCTCGAATATACTATTCGGCCACGCTGTGCACATCGCCAGTTTAATCTTGTGCTTTTTTCCGGATATGTGAGTCTGGAATAATTTTCGTTTTAACGATATTTAAATCACAGTATTTTCTTGTAAATTTTCATCTTACATTTCGACCGTAGGCTGCCAACACCTCCTAAAGCGCTTTGCCATAAATTTACAGGAGACCATAAAAACTACATTGTTAACAAAATACAGATGGTATTTATGAACTCAAAATCCAAATTTATTATTTTTACAGTAATTTTATATTGCTAAGAAGAAAACATTCAAATCACGTTCCTTTAGAGTTGTAAGTAAGTTTTTCCATAAAAAAAAATAAAAAAAAGTTAGATGTTATTTCTTCTTGGTGTAAGTTCTTCAAAAGAAGACAAATTACATTTTTTAAATAACATATTATTAGAAAATCACAAAAATAGCCACTTCTAACATTAAGATATAAAGATAACAGGTGGCGCAAAAAAAAACCATTTCAGTAAAAATGTGAGTTGGGAGCTGTTGGCAGGTTACGGTCGATTTGCTATATTAGTGACGCTGCTACTAACTAATATGTTATAACTAAGTTACCTGAAGTATGCTTTCGCCACTGCAGACTGCTCCGCACGGGTAGCACAGGTATATCCACTTGCCGGATATATCTCGTCCTTTCCGCTCGACCATGTTTCGCGTCTCGCCATCCTCGGTTTTGATCTTCAAACTGTTCAGATGGTCTTGAAACTCTTGCTCGGCCTAAAAAATACGCTATCGTGAGTTCAGTTTTGTTTTTACGTTTGAATCGTCGTAACGAATTTCTTATCTCGGCAATCATTCGCTGAAAAAAATTAATATATGCTGAAAATACCATTTCATTTTTACTTTCCTCTAGCGTACAATACTTACCGATTTGTTTTACCTAAAATTATGGAGGAATTGTGGAATTGTGACGTCAGTATTGACCGGAGTCAGGTATTTTATGTATATTAAACGTTCGTGTTTAATCTCAATACTTGAATTCTTAAAATAGCATTATTTCCGATAAAAAAAATTATCAGTCGAAATTGTAAATGATTCAACGTATTAGATTTATCAAACTTTTTAATATTTTCTATAGTACGCGCCAAACCCAAACGTTTCTATGAACTTTATGCTAGTTCCTGCACAGACTAATTAGGGGATGAAGAGTTATTACTAAATTTGAAATATTCAAATTAAATATAGTAACGATTGAATTAAATGTATACAAGATGATAAGTTGTCGAGGGAATAAATTATCAAAGTATAACTGTACGACATATCGCAAATAAATTCACTCAGAGCGTAGGTACCTATATAAGTTTTGCGTGTACTTTAATCACTAATGTTTTAGGTTTAAACTGACACATACTAATTTATTAAAAAACTCATGTATACTTTTTTTTTACAAAATAGAATCTTGGTTGTATAATATTCTTAAGTTAAAAACTGAATTAATTAAATCAGACGCAAGAAGTTTTCATGTCTTCGATATTCCTGTCTTACAATACGTGGAACTAAGGTGGAACAACAATTTATTAACGTAATAGGGTAGGCTACCTATAGGCACTAAAATCTATTTATATAGTTTTTTCTATAAATGGTTAGTGAAGCCTCATAAAAAAATGATAATAAATTTTATTACGAGCTGCACTATGAAGTAACTTGTAATATTAATCTAGTTTACCGTATTGCTCTTTTAATATTAGTGTGCATTCGTGAAAGACCGCATCTCTCCACAATTGAGGTTATGCCAGTTGTTCGATTTTCGTGAAATCGTCAAGCTTTTAGCCTCAACCTTTGCTAGATGCATAGATTGGAACACTTGGAACTAATCATACACATACCACAATAAACTGGCTTAGAGTACAGATCAGTTTTAGTAAATGTGTCGCCGGGTCAATACCTGTAACGCTAAAACTCTATTTCGACTAAATAGCTTTTTAATTTTCATACGCATCTATACGGAGAACGTATTACATAATAATATATATATATTTTATATGTTACGGAGAATCCCAAGATTACAGGAAAACATACATTCGACATGAATCAAAAAGTTCTAATCGCAACAAAAATATACTTAACGGTTTTTTTTATAAACACGTAATCGTATTTAAAAAATCTGAGAATATGTTAGAGCTGTGTGTTACCTCAAGCACAACCACAGATCTATGAATAGGAGCGTCACCGTGAAGAAACAACAATTCCGAAAACTTCACGTAGTTACAGCATTAACTCTATAATATAAATAATAGGGTCGGCTAAGTACAAAGTAAGACCCGGTCGTTTCTGTGTGTGGCTAATTAAAATATCATTGACACTCCAAAGTCTATAGCTTTGCTGGCGATAAGAGTGACTTATTTGTTATGCGACGAGGGTATTTCTCACAGAGCGATTTGTCTCCCAATCTCGTAATCTAAATGATGGTCCTATTTTTTATTCAATTTTGATCGGTAAAAACTCGTGGTACCTCTTGCCCATACGTTTGTAAGCCAATTACAGTGGATTCAATGCTGTCAAATGAAATATATAAGATCTCAGAAAAAACTTTTAGTCCTTGATGATAAAAATCATCCAAACGCTAATGTCCAGAATTACTGTACCACAGGTTCGATTCCAGTTTGGTATCAGTAGCTGCTAATGATATTTCGCATTCAGCATTTGTATGTGTTTATCCTTTTCTTCTGTGTTTCAGCATCCATAACGCAGGAGAAATATATTTGTCTTTTAAATCAAAGCAAACTTTTTGATCGTCTCTTGCGTGACGAATAGTTAGTATAGTAGACGAAAGTCCGCCCAGATTTAGTGTTATCATCTTCACAGCACAAACTGCCTCTTTAAGCTCATCAATCAGCACGAAATCCAAAAAAAACTGGCACAAATCACTGCATGTAGCACTTTTTGCATATCGGATTTATTATTAGAGCACAAGATAATGAAACTTAGCTTACCTATGTTTAAAAAATTTTAAATAATCAATTTGTATTTATCATTCAAATAACGAAAATACGCTAAAAGATTTTCGGAATGCGCTCATAAGAACTTTTTGATTCACCTTAATCGAAGAATTTATTGAAGTCTGCAATTATCTAACATATAAAAAACTTAACTAATTTTCTTGAAAATCCAGATTAATAAACTTAATTGTCACCAAATATATATATAATAATTTATGATGATGATGATATTCATAATATTTTGTTTTTTGCATACTTTTTTGCATTCATCTAAGTTTGGTCATTAAGCTACTATATAATATAATTATCATAAGCATGTACATCGTATACGTGCGTATTGTCGCCACCACCGAAGTTGGCAATCGTATTTATATTTTAAGGAAATATTTTATTGCGGTCCGGAAAACAGTTTAGGATAATTTAACTGGTTACACTTTTTTTTATACCTATGCTGATAGCTTTGAATGGCTATTTTAGCGTTCCTAGCCTGTACGGGAGCTCTCGATGCTCAAACCGGGGGTGTTGCTAACATTTGCTCGCCGAGCCCTTCGTCGCAAGCGACGAATTCGGCGAGCACAGTGACCGGGGTTACACTGATGGTGAAAAGTTACTGTAGCTCATGTCCATTAGCAATGTCAAGAATGCAACAGTCAAATTAAGTTAACCGCTGTAGACCCTTCAAAGTTCCATTACATTTCTGTTAACAAGATAAAAACATAATTTAAACTACTTTTATAGTTTACTCTCGGAGTTTTTTATTGTCATTTTAATATTTCTCACGTTTCGAATTCTTTGCAATTTTCGTGGTCAGACATGTAAGACTCGCGAAAACCGAAGTAAACACTGAAGTAAAGCGTGCTCTATATATTTTTTTTTGTTTATAAATAAGTGGCGTTTTCAATTGGCTTAGTGCTTGTGGATTCAGACAGGGCATTGTGATGAAGCTTGGGGGAGACCTGTGAAAGTCTGTGAATAACTTTTTTTCTTTTCTTTTTTTACTGAATGATTACTAGTGACCCAGAGGCCTTTCCAGTTTCACCAGGACAGGAGACTGATGATGATAAACATTCAGAAGTACCGAAAAATATTCAACACAGGAAATAGTAATTAATAATCCGATTTATTATAATCTGAAGAGTAATATTGTTTGTACAACTCATGCATAAAGTATGAATTATATGCTATAATCTTTGTTATCAATGCATCATTTAAGCTTAGTTTTAGTTTTAAATAGCTTTTGTAATTTGTATCAGTACTCCAAGTTCTAACTTAAGCTCAGTGATAGGCAGGGCTAGATTTATCTCATAACTCACTAGTCAAAAGCTGAAGTATCTATCTGGCGGGCCACAGTTACAGTTTTAAGAAAACCAATCAAGAGTTTATGTACAGCATATATTAGCAAGTATATTATAAATTGATGATTGATGAATTACCTGATGACCTTAAGAGACAATGTTTCATTTTATTTTTGCTTTTGTTATTGTTATCTTTATATATTTCTTAAATATAAAATTGCTTATATATATATATATATATAAAAGAAACACAAAATAAGTAACAGTATTGAATATGCAATAGCGCGCACTCAGGTTATTTCACTGGTTCTTCTCATGAATGAAGCTTTTTTTCAACAGGTGATACAGATAATGTATTTTTGACCTAGAACTCTGCTTGGAGCATATTCCAATTAAAATTAATTATGGTTGTTAAAATCTAATTTTATAACTAAACTAAATAAAAATAAATCTAGTTTGTTCTGACACTATCGAATTTGTATATCTCCATTTACCTAAGCTGTTAATTTTCGCACAAAACTACTTCTAAGAAAATTGAGGGCTATACATAGTTTTAAAGAATTAATCATCATCAAAAACCAAATGATTTCTGAAGCTGAAGATAAAACCTTTTAGGGATGAAACAAATAAATACAAGTGTACAAAATATATATTAATAATGTTAAAATCAATGAAACCAAAATCAATTTTAAACCAATATTTTCATCAATATTAACTTAACGTTAGCTATATATTGATATAACGACTATCGAAATACACAAAAAAAAAATTTTTAATGCATAAATTACTGCTTTGATAATGTTACCAGTAATGCTAGCGTTGCACACGGTATGCTGTTATTTCACCCTTCAATTTGTTGATATGGTACATTAATTGATTAATTCATACAGCATGTGCACTATACAGTGGCCACCAGATTCATAAAGACGATTCATATTGTTTGTTAGAAAAAATTGAAACTCCAGTCGGAAATAGTGAAATCACTTAAACTTTTCTCTAAATTATTAAATACTTCAAACAATCCCATCAACACATACAGCTCTGCAGAATCACTGCAATTAATCACATTGTTAGAAAATCGTAATTTTAAGGTCTATTACAACTTTTAAGTTTTGATTTGGGTCAATATTTTGGGACAAGTATTTAAATCATTTGGAAAATAAAACGAGACTGGGTCCTTAAATGTTGAGTTTTTAATAGAGAAAATACTACACTCCTTGACAAAGACTTATGCTTTAGAAAGCACAGGATAGGTATTGTGTGAAATATTACGCCATCTAGTTCCATGCTCCCAAATAATTGCTTTAAAACACAATTTTAAATTATTTTTTGTTTTTAGGAAGGTGTTTAGGTATTATATTAGCTTTTTATATGTCATAGAACCAGCATTTGTAAAACATCTACTGTAACTTAGATGTTTCCTGTTCAAATTGTTGTATACTATTCTTCAAAAACTGTTATGTATCAATGTTAAATATGGATTCTAGGACATTTTAGAACTATATAAAGTAAGAGTCATTTTTTTTTATAGCGTTCATTGTTCTTTTAGAACTTTTCAACTTCTTCTACAGCTTTACAAATTACATGGAAGAACTTCTGATTAATGAAGATAAATGAATATTTTTCAAATGATACAAAAACCACAAACCACAAAAAATATATTTGACTACTACTTTTTGCTTTGCACACATTTATCAGTAGTAAAGATCAGATGGCATGTGAGTTATTAAGGAATAAATTTGTAAAAATTGTTTACTGTTTAGTATAAGTATTCTTTGTTCTTTTACTTAGGGGAAGATTCCCTCAAACTGTTAATTAAAGGTAATGATCATTATTAATCTTTGTATTGTGAATGAGCTCACTATTAAGAATTTGTTACATCATATTAAAGAAATACCTACGTGTTATTTTACTATTGGGAAGGACAAATAGTACACCTAGTACTACTATTTATAAATAGAATAATCACATAAAATTAATCTAAAACTTCTTAAGCCATTCTATTTAACCTAATACTTTATCAAAATAAGAAAAGTATTATTATGAAGCGGACAAACTAGAATTATTTCATATCTTCAGTGTGCTATGAAAAGTTTTATTTGGTGAACTGCTCTTTTGGCCATGAGTAGTAACCAGAAAAATAATTTCAACTTTGTTGCAATGAATGCTAACTGCTTCAAATTTTAAAGACATATTTGTGTATTTTATTTTTATTTTATTGAATAATATCATCCACTCACAGGTAAACAATAAAGAAAACATTTAAAAATTACATATACTTCAATATATGTAATGTGTGAAATGAATTTGTTTTTATACTATTTAATTTGTTAAAACATTTTTTTATATATTTACCTTAGTACAGTTGCCCTCTTCAATCTTCTTTGGAACTTCTGTAACCGTGTCCTGATAACCCTCAGCCCCCGGGGGGCAGTCAGGCAGCTCCATTTTGAAGCACTACACTTTATAGTTTATGACCAACAAAACTGTCATAAACTATTCTTCGCTAAGGTTAGCAATTTCTTCTTTTCTTGGTTCTTCAACTGTAAACCATCATAAATTAAAAACACATTTTCCACACCATTATATTTATCTGATAAGTAATTTCACTAAACATAATTAGATACTTACAATGCATCAGAAGATCATACTTACTTTTTTCCTTTGAAATAGTAGTATCAGATTGCACTTTTCAGTGCAGTATTTATAACAATACATAGTCATACTACATTAGAACAAACGCTTCTATAATACATAAACATTTAAAGGTGAGCTATAGGTTTTCAGACAACTCCAGATTTATTAGTTCTGACTCAAATTCATCGGTATCGATTCAAATCGAAATTAATGCGTTATTAGGGCTAATGTAAATCACAAGTCTTAAATTTGTGTAATTTTAGTAACAGTTTTAAAACATAATTTTATGCATGGAGGAAAAATAAATAAGCTAGTAAAGAAATTAAGACTAGTTGCATGGGAGGGTCTCATGATTTACTATCCAAAAGCAATCAATTTTACTAATTATTAAAGTATATTTATAATATATTGACTGTTTTACACATATCTATTAGAGATCGACTTGATTGGAGGTAATAAATTTTGTTGTAAACTTACCAACTGTGCCACTACATAAATAAAAGAACTCTTCACAGCACTTTTTCACTACATCAATTATTTGGATAAGGTTAATTAATTACAGATATCAATTGAAAAAAAACATGTTTTAACTTATTTGGCTTAACATTACAAAATTTTCGTATGTGTTGTAATTAATAATTCAAATCATTAATTAGTTAAAATAAGCACTGTACCTGTTTAAATAGTGAGTGGATATTTGACGACGTTGATGAACTTAAAATTCAATCATTTGCAAATTTACACTATTAAAAGCAATCATAGGAAATTAAATTGTAACTTAGTTCCAACGCTTAGATTAATCGTTGTTCTAACATACAAATTTCCTAATTAGACTACTATTATCCTCCGCAAAATTCTTTAGCAGCTAGCGTCCATATTTGTGTGTTGTATAGTCTATGTTCCATAGATAACTAAGTTCTATTAGATCATTATAAAGGTCTATGATTAATCAATGAGTTTGGCCTCCCTTTTTTTATTTTCGGATTTTTTTATTTTTAATTATTTGTTCGTCGTTTGTTTGTTAATGTTCGAATGTAGAAATTTTTGTTCGTCTTTTATTTATTTATAATTAATTAAACAAATGATCACCCTTAAGTGGGCCTCCTTACTAGATATTTTTATTTTTATCGCTCAGTCAATTAATTTTGATCAATTATCTATTGGTCGACGGCTATTGGTGATTTTTCGATTATAAGTCCAGATCGTCATGGAGGTCGACGTTCCTGACGAGCCACGGGGCTCCGACGGCTATCCTGCAAAAACGGGATTGAATAATTTGAAAGGATTTTAAGTGAGTGCGGGCCGCGTGAGCGAACACTACTCTTGCATAGGTCATGACGGGGCGTATGCAAGTTTTGTAGAGTGTCACCTTATTTCTAAGGGACATTTTACTTCGCCTGCATAACATCGGGTAGAGACGTCCTAGAATGAAGGCGGCACGGTCGCGTACCACCTTAATATGAGGGCGGAATGTCATCCTTCTGTCGAGGGTGACGCCTAAATATTTGACCTTCGGGGCCCACGGTATGGGCTGGTCGAACATCGTGATTGGGCGAATGGCGGAGGCGGAGGTGTCGACGCGCCTAGACGGGAGAGGGATGCTCAACGTGGTGTTCGGAGGGCGACCCCTTCTGAAGAGCACCGCTGTGCTTTTCGTGGGTTTAATGTCGATGCGCCACTTCCGGAACCACTGTCCCATGGTAGTAGCTGCGGTCTGAAGTCGTCGATGAAGCAACGCCTTCTTCCTACACGAGTAGTAGATGGCGGTGTCATCGGCGAAGAGCGCCAGATGGGTCTCCGGAGACCGGGGTATATCATTAATATACAAACTGAATAGTAACGGGGAGAGGGCGGAGCCTTGCGGGACTCCGGCTGTGACGTGACGGGGGCGGGAACGCGTTCCCTCGACTCGATATCGGAACGAACGGTTCGACAAGTAGTCTCGTATGATGAGTCGCGTGCGCAATGTAGGCGTGAGGTGATGGTTTGCATATTAGATATAAAATAATTAATAATTGGGAATTTAATTATTTTTATGATCGAACAATCACCAATAGTTGTCGAACAAACGATAATTGATTAAAATTAATTAATCTGAGCGATAAAAGTAAAGATATTTAGTAAAGGAGGCCAACTTAGCGGTGATCATTTGTTTAATTAATTATAAATAAATAAAAGACAAACAAACAATTTTTACATTCGAACATTAACAAACAAATGACTAACAAATATTTAAAAATAAAAAAAATCCGAAAATCAAAAAAAGAGGGACTAAATTCACTGAGCCCATATTGTGTGACATTTAAGAAAGAATAGGTATGTATATAGATAGGCTAAATCATTTTTGGGATCGTCCGTCAATTAATATTAAACATGTTTTCATTGTAACGTTATAATATTCAGTATTTTTTATAAGGCGAATTTCTATTTAATTGTATTATCCTTCCTGTCCTTATTACATATTGCTAACCACAGTTATGGATTTGAAATCAAATGTATTTATTCCTAGTTAAAATTATATATGTCTTTTACTCATTTAAATAATATTTTGGTAATTTTATTTTTGCAGTTGCCTTACATTTAACCGTTTAGCTATGTATATAGTTACTTATATATAGTATATAGCTACCTTGATGAATGATATAAATGTATAATGGTAGGGACCTACCAAAGACAAAGGCTTAGGGCCAAGTTTAGACGTTATTATTTCAATTTCGTGTCCGAGAATGCCGCGATAGTACTCTCTGATTCTCTACGTTACTCTTGGCATAATCCACATAGATTTACTCATGGAGTTCTAGAGTTAATTCTTTGAAAAAGTCGGTGTCCGCCTTAACGCCTCATCGACATCACATAGACTATTCTTGAAAATTTTAGGTTTCAAAAAGTCTGTAATAGCTGAACAAACAAAAGAAAGTGACTAGTCGTAGACTATTTTTGGCCATTGTAAGCCAACGACGAGCTTATTGTCCACTTAAAGGTGTATGATCATCTTTGCTCTTGGATACAACCAAGTCGCTGCCCACCTAAAGCATTAACTGAGGGGTCATCTCCCAAATGTGGCCCTAACCTAAGCACACGAATGGACCCAGTGGAAATTCTAAGCCTTTTATTTCAATAATCACCAATTTTATTGTAGAAATAAACGGATTAATTTTTTTATTTTAAATGTTATGATTGGTGACAGTATCAACGAAATTTGTTATTGGTAATGAAGACAGTTTTATATTGTATTAATTACCCTATAAAATAAAATAAAAAAACTACTTTAAGAGACAAGAAATCGTTCTACATTTTATGAACAGCTTAAATTCTGGATTTATAGCGATTTTTAAATTTTTGGGAGAGATATTTTCTTAGAGCCTGGCAACACTTCAATAATCTGTGTTTTCTTTTTTGACCCAACTAAGATGGGTGAGTTGATTTACCCATAAAATAATTTAATAAATCTAATGAAATCTTGGTAATAGTGTTAATAATTTATAGAAACGCTTCTTAAAACAACTGTGTTTGAGATCCGAGAGTGAATTATGTTTATATTTTTTGCTTACCAGTACAAAACTGTGTTATTTGATTCGGTCGGGTTGTGATGTGCTAATAATTAATAACAATGTGCTGTGTTCAGGTATTAGTCGGGATCACTGGCATAAGCGAAGGGCCACCGGTGGGAAACGTGCGCCCATACGCAAGAAGAGGAAGTATGAGTTAGGGCGTCCCGCTGCAAACACCAGGGTAAGAACATAACCTAAGTAGATACTATAACTTAGGAACAGTTGACATCGTTGAATAAAGAAGAGAAGCCTTGCACTTCGCGGTTTCATTTTATTTTTTTTCATCTTTTCAGCTCGGTCCTCAGCGTATCCACTCCGTTCGTTCACGTGGTGGAAATACTAAGTACCGTGCGCTGCGTCTGGACACCGGTAACTTCTCTTGGGGATCGGAATGTGAGTCTGTCGACCTTTTAATTTATTTATCAATTAGAAAAGTTACGACTTCACTTAATATGGCTTGCAGTAAATTTATGAGCATTTAACTTACTTAATGCACTATCATAGCAAAAATGCATTTTAATATGAGAAGTTCTTAAAACAGTAAACATTGAAGAATATTGGTGTGATATAAATCCACTTCTGTATCCAAATATTGTGTTGCCAAATATTCCAATGTCATTAAAATTTGTGTAAGTGTTATTATGTAGAATCGACCTATGTGTGCATATGAATTCAGTTCTCGTAAAGCACTAATTTATTACTTAAGATCCTTGCCTTAATTTATTATACCTTTAATACAAGCACCTCACTTTAATTTGTTCACATAAAAATTACATGAACAATCTAATAGATTGGTTTGCCCTTTCAGGTTCAACTCGCAAAACCCGTATCATTGATGTTGTGTATAATGCATCTAACAATGAATTGGTGCGTACAAAGACCCTTGTCAAGAATGCAATTGTTGTAGTAGATGCAACTCCATTCAGGCAGTGGTATGAGTCGCATTATACGTTGCCTCTTGGGAGGAAGAAGGGAGCGAAACTGGTAAGTGTCACTCTTGTTATGTTTTCTAGTGATTATTGATGATAATACTAGATTTTAGGTACTAAAAGTTGTAAATTAGTAATTACAATGTATTAAGAAGAGGAATGGAAGGGCTATGGAATTAAGATTAAAATATGAATTCTTGGACATTTGATAATGCATCATTTTCTTTCATAATACAAATAATATTTAGTAGGATTCATAGATCGTAGTAGTAGTATTTATAAGTATAATTTATTTAGTATTGTTTCACTTCTTCAAATTAACATAAATTAAGAACTAAATTTCAATTAAAAGAGAAATGGTAATGAAAGAAATGTGTGTTTGTATTTAAACTAAAACACATGGTAAACTTATTTATTATGCTATATACCAGTAGCTATCTTAGTGTTTGAAGAAATCTTGCAAAAAAATAAATGACACCAAATAAATTTACAAGAAAAGCTTATTAATGTAGAAATAACCAACTATATTATCAGACTCCCCAGCGGTATATTACCCTCTTGCTGAAATATCCTCATTAGTTTTGTCCGAAACATGTGTTTTTTTCAAAATGATGAAGAATTTTTGCGTGTCAAATGATTGAATTCAAAATGATTCAAGCAAGCTCTGAAATTATATTTTCATATTCAATTTAACTTTTCCTTAAAAAGTAACAATAAAATGTTTTTCATTTAGACTGAGGCTGAGGAAGCTATTATCAACAAGAAGAGAAGTCAAAAGACAGCAAGAAAATACTTGGCAAGGCAACGTCTTGCTAAGGTTGAGGGTGCTCTAGAAGAGCAATTCCACACGGGGCGTTTGCTGGGTAATTTATAAATTGTTTCCTAATCATCGTATTTGAACTAGAATACTAATTATATCAGCATGTGGAGTATTAAAAAAATAAATAAAAAATTAAAAGAAATGATGAAAAATAAGATTTGAGGTTGCATTTAGTGACTGTTACCGTTTTGGGAACAATCCAGTAGCCATATGATGCACTTTGTCATAGTTACTCTGATTTGGTGAACCGTGTGCAACCTAATTCAATTCATACCTATGTGCTCTTTTTAATGAGTTCTTTATTGTTTTCAGCTTGCGTGGCGAGTCGCCCAGGTCAGTGTGGTCGCGCCGATGGTTACATCTTAGAAGGCAAAGAACTCGAGTTCTATCTAAGAAAGATCAAGTCTAAGAGGGCGAAGTAATATGTGTAATCTTAAATAAACATTAAAAATCCATACCTTCTTTATTTCTTTTCCTTGTTTTATGCCACCAATTTGTTTTTCTTTTCCCACGTGATAATCTGAGTCAGCTCTTGCTAAGCGCTCGTTACGGATGCGGAATTATGAGCCCTAATGGATATCTACATTTTGCCTATTTTTGCTGAGAAATGCGTTCTGATTTTGAAGGATGGAGCAGTCTACAAAGCATTTTATAGACCGTAGCAGACGCAGTTCATATAATTGATACTTTGACCTGCTTTATGTTTTCAAATGGTTTCGATAACTTCATTGTAGATGGGTGTTCAGTGCGTTTACCCATCTAGTGTAAAAAGTCTGGCTCAACACGGGTCCTATTCACTTGTTAATATAGTTATTCATTAACGATTTAGACGTTTAAGAAAGGCGCTAATCTATATACCTATTTATATATAACCTAGCGCTCAGTAATCTATCTATCTATATATATAAAAATGAATTGCTGTTCGTTAGTCTCGCTAAAACTCGAGAACGGCTGGACCGATTTGTCTAATTTTGGTCTTGGATTATTTGTGGAAGTCCAGAGAAGGTTTAAAAGGGAGATAGATATGAAAATGCTCGGAATTAACTAAAAATAACAATTTTGTTTTCCCTTTTAATGTCTGCCCCGTCGGACGGATTCCTTTTGTTTGTTTTAAGTTTGTTTTATACAAAAGATTAGGTCTTTTATTTATCGATTGAGGCACTACAAAGTCTGCCGGGTCAGCTAGTGTACAATAAAAAAGGAGTAATTAGTTATACTCGTAGTTTTACTTTTGTCTACCTAATTCTAGTAATTTTAAGTAAGTACCTATTAACTTCACTGGATAGATGTGCTCACGTTGCCCAGCCTGAAATAAATTGCGAACACTAGATCTAGTAATAGCAGGGCTTCGCTGAGTCTACCACTGGATCGGAATCCGGACCCAGTGAGGAACTTAGTGGATTAAATTACACTGGGCTTAGTACCCACAACATTTTCTATGAGCAGGTCAGGAGGAACTGCTTATAAATATAAAAAAATACAATTCTATTACATACGTTTTATGTAACAGGGTTAAATTAATGACCGAGAAGGAAGTAGGTGTGTTCTATTCAAATTCAGGATTCACCTCTTACTGATGTGTAAGTTTCAAATGAAACAAGAGTTTTATTTTTGGATGTGTATTTTTATTTTGTAAAAAGCGAAACACCTCCACAGTCATTGAACATAATATTGTAACAAAGAACAACTTAATTTTAATAGAAACTGAAAACCAATATAAATTATGTACATAAAATGAGTCGTCTATTATCAAAGGTGGCAATCTGTGCATTTGGACAATTTTTTTTTATTGATATGTCAATTCAGATTGATTTGAATATAATCGTCTCCTTCAAAGAATACGGTTCAAAACCTGCATTAAATAAAGGTTAATAGTTAACCTGTTATTTATCTAAGATGTCGTTCCGAAGAGTTTTGTGACTGCCAATGGAATACAAAGTCAATAATTCGTTTTTCTGATTTACCAATCATTGTCCAAAAGTCAGATTGCCGGCTTTGATAATAGACGACTCAATACAAGCTTGGCTTGTGCAAATTACTTAATAACAAAATCAATGAAATTATAATGTATAGACAAGAATATTATAATATTCTAGAATTGAGTGGATCTACCATCTTTCCGGACATCAGAGATACATGGATACTTGCGTCCATAACGAAGTATAGGAACGGGTATGTTGCAAAAAAGTGAACCGGCTCGTGATTTGTGACGTATCCTATAAACGAAATTAAAGAAATAATTAAATAAACGCCTTTACCGAGTATAGGAATCGATAAGAAGAAAATTATCGTAGGCAAGGCAATGGTGGTAGGACCTCTTGTGAGTCCGAATGGGTAGGTACCACCACCCTCCTATTTCTGCCGTGAAGCAGTAATGCGTTTCGGTTTGAAGAGTGGGGGAGCCGTCGTAACTATACTGGAGACCTTAGAACTTATATCTCAAGGTGGGTGGCGCAGTTACGTTGTAGATGTCTATGGGCTCCAGTAACCACTTAACAACAGGTGGGCTGTGAGCTCGTCCATCCATCTAAGCAATAAAAAGGCAAAGAGAGCTAAAGCTGATTATTTCGATGACAAGCGCAATCGTAGCTGTCCGCGAACTAAAGTTTATCGCGGAGGATGTTTGGTAAAAAAGTTATTTTTTTTATCTTGTTACATATGTACAAACTTTTTTATTATAGGTATACATACTTTTAAACGATGCTGTGTGCTTAGTGCGAGTTTCTTAACGTTCTCGATAGCGTAAAAGTTAAGCCAATTTTGTATGAAATTGGAACAGCGCCTCTAACGGCAAACGATCCCATTCCATACAATTATGAGCTAACTTTTACGCTATCGAGAACGTTAAGAAACTCGCACTAAGCACACTGATCGAGCTAACAAACCACCTGACTTTAAACGTTTTAAAAAAACCGGAGACACTACTGTGCAGTTTGTTGCTGTTATACCTACTAAAAATAAGTGTTGATAGAATGATTATGACTACAACAGGAAGCTGGGCTTAATGAGCGCTCAAAGAAATAATTCGAGATGATATTCAAGTTTGAGATAAGGACCGTTGGTAGATGGCACCACTGCGTTACGACAAAAAAAAAGGAGCTTGGAACCCCAAGTTGGGGGCTATCTGTGGCTTAGAACTATCAACAAATCGTTCATTTCCGATACTTTTTTGACTGAATGTACCATACAGCTATGATCTTCTATGGTGTTTTTTTGTGCTAGGAAATGTCCGCTTAGGAAATATCCGCACCCTTTAAAAAGGGTACTCTCAGCGGTTTCGCTTTGCCTTTGATATTACCGATTGCCATAAGGGGTGGTGACCACTCACCATCAGGTGCGCTATATGCTCGATAGTTTTTGAAAGTAATATATAAAAAAAACAAGTTTATTAGTTGACTAATAGGACAATGTGCTTGGAGTCACCGAAATCCTTCAGTAAACAGGAAAATAGACTAGTGAGTTGGGCCTTGCATTTCATACAGTCTTGTAGCCATTTTGTACATGTTTATTAAATAGATAAAATATAAATGACATAAAGTAGAGCTTCAAATATAAAATTAAAAATATTTAAAAACGTCCTTGACATGAAAACGCTTCGGTATGAAACAAAAGTAAACAAAATAACCCAACTGTAGCAACAGGAAACAATTATATGGCAATTTTTCCATACTCGTTTTATTTAATGAAAACCGGGGGTTTATCTGCAAATCATTTTCATGTTGCGATTAGGCATTAGGTCGCAGCAATGTCATTGCAGCGAATGATTTCCCCTAATTGCTCGTGAGAGTAGATATTCGATAACGATGTGCGCATCAATGGAAGCAAATGCGCGTGTCGCCGCGTTACGCCACAGAGTCGCTCGGCATAGATTATACACTCGCTCGGGACTCGAGACAATGAATGAAGCCGCTTTCGCCACCTCCCGCTCGCAGTTTTGCACTCTTTTGGCTACAATTATCCCGACTCGAGCACCGGAAAATAAGAACAACCATCGCAATTACGGTGTTAAAATTACACATGTGGTTGTGTTGTAAAGCGTTAACAACTATAACTGGTACAATAAACACCATAATATTATTATATATACTAATAGTACCTACAGTTTCAAAAACCAACACAGGTACAGGTTCGGTTAAACATAAACGTTATCTGATTATATATGTCCTCTATGGTTGTCAATTAGGTACCTAATTTAATTGTGTAAATCAATTTTGTAAGCTTTCGGAGCGCGTCAAAGTCGCTCAAGGATTTTCCGGCGAACGCACTGGCCCATGACTGCGATGACCGAACTCACGCTTGCGAGTGACCCCATCGCCCAGGCATAATTAACACGTTACAACCGTAACGAAGAGGATACCAGTCCCAACCATTAAGCCTTAAAACGAGATTAAGTTGACTCACGATTTTTTTTCTGATCGTCAGGGCGGTATTTTCGAATGGCCACAGAAACGGCTTGTTCAATACTTCGAACGTAAACACCAGACTGTCGAGTCATTAGTGTGAAATCTCTCTGTCTGGGTTCAAACACATCTCGTATTCCGAGCTGTAAAAACAGAAAATTATCTTTAAACAATACATAATACTTGAATTGAATACCTGCAATAAGACTTATTATAACTATTAAATAAATATTATATGAAAAGTTATTTATTAAACAAACAGATGAAGTTCCACTGTTGTCGAAAAAGCAATTAAGTATTTTTATCAAAATGAAATGAGAATAATATTTAAAAAAAACATTTTCAAAATACTTCCAATCCCTCCAAACAATGACAGACTTTCACATGTTTACAACATAAATTTTCAAAATATTACCTTTATAGCAAAAGTTAACATTATAATTTGCGTTATAGAAGCGTATGGCTTACCCCGCGATGCAACCATATTGCGATCATTAAATTTGTACAAACTTAACTAAATGGATTGGGGACATCCTAAATAAAAATCTCCACAATGCTTATGCATTCATTCATCATTAGATTTGTGGAAATGATAGCTATGATAATTAAAGTGGGTTTTAGAATGTAATTGTTCACATTGTAATCTTTATAGATCAAGTTAAATATGTGCAATTTATTTAATTAGAGTTAAAATTAGGTTGAAATAATACTCATAAGAATTGATTCAATGACAATCATTTGTTTCTACTGTGTAATCGTAAGTCAATGATGAATAAGGAATCATTGAATATTGGTTTTCGTGGCGCAAGAAGGGTTTTTCACCTGTTACCAATCAAATGTTTTCGTAGTGTATTTCGAAAATGAGTTTCCTGTAACTTAGACGCACCTGACGCAGGCATTAAGCCCTTTAAGCCAGAGGTCGCAGAATCAAGCTCGTACAATGCAGTTGGTATAATTTTCTTAGCTTTCCTGACATTCTACGTAATGTGAAGTAAGTGAACTACTTTTTTTAATATTTGTTGCTTTTTTATGCTGATGAACATACGGCCCACTTGATGGTAAATGATTACCGTCGCTCATGGACGTCAGCAATGTCAGGGGCACGGTCAAGTCGCTGCCTAAAATTGTAAATTGTAATAAGAAATGTATTTTTAATTACATCATACTAACCTTTTGTAAGTCTGTAGTGAGGGTCACGTGGCCCTTTACTGTAAAACTAGGTACTATTCCCTTGACTCGCCTAGGACGCAGTGCCGCATAAATATCTGACAAGTCAGATTCACGAGCCATACGTGCCAGCAATCTTCCTAATTCTGCGGCGCTCCCTCTGGCTGGCAACACAACCAGGAGATAATATCGTTCGCTGTCTAATGGGAGCCGAAGAGCTGAAGCCTCTAGATGAGGCAGATATGCGTGCTCTAATATTGTGTCGTAATGCATGTATGTAACCTAAAAGATACAATCGCACAGATGCAACAGGTTAGAAAATGTTTGTAACCATAACGATTATTAATAAACGCAGTGTACGTTTTTTATAATAAAGCGGGGCGAAAGAACCCATAGCCGATCGAGTGGTGATTAGCGTTGCCCATAAACATGATAGCCCACCTTGAGACATCTGGTGAAAGTCTTAGTTGAAATGTCTGGAGGCTGTTCAAACCAGGACTCAAGATTGCTTTGCGGGAGAAATAGGATACTGGTAGGTACATGTTGTTGCCTACAATACGCCATGCCACCGATATTTCGTAAGCCTATGAATTTTTCGAGTTTTCTTTTTTTATATGTGTAATACATAATCTTAATTACTACCGCGTTACAGTACGTGATTCTCCTACGATCGAATTTGAAGTTGACATTTATAATATTACATATTACAAAAGACGTTATTCCAATGTTCCAACACGTTTAATAACAAGGCAACAAGAATTGACTTATTTTGTAGAACAAAAATTAAACCACTGACCTGGACGCTTTTTAATCCATTAGCCAAAAACATTTGCTCATCGAACGTAGGTTTTGGGGGCTCGGCAGGTATATCAAAAGACCTATACATTAGATAATCATCGACGTAAGGAGGGTTCGTGAAAATAAAATCAACAATGGATTTCTTTCGCCTTTCAAGTGTTTCCAACGAGGAACCATTTGCAGCTGTAGTCATATCAGAACTAGTTGCCGTATCAGAGAGAGTAACTAGTGGTTTGTCTGTTGATGTTGTAAATGTGACACTATCGGTCTGTATTTCAGTGGTAGATACAGAAGTTGTGCTTTCTGTAAAGTTCAAATCCACTGTACTTGAAGTCAACGCCGCCGTACCATCGATTTCATTGTTTTCGGTTTGTGTTAAAGCCACTGTCGCTTGGGACGTCTGCTGAGCTATCGTTTCCTCGTCAATATCCGTACTTGAAGGATTCGCTGTGGTGATCAATAAGTTTTCGTTAGTCGTTGAATCTGTTGGGTTCGTAGAAGTAGTCACAGAATTAGTAGTTGTCACGATTTGTGTTGTAGTTTCCGTTGAAGATATTAGTGGTTTAATGATATCTTGAAGTGTTGTGGTACTTATACCAACCGTAGTGCTTTCAAAATTCGGTGCCGAAGATGGAATAGCAGTCGTTGTTGCTATGGTATTAATTGTTTCGGCGTTAGGATTTGCTGTAGTATCTCTAGATGTCGCGGGTGTTGTTTCTTCCCGTGTATTTTCTGTTGTAACTGTTGTTCCTGTAGACACATCACCCTCATCTGCTTGTGACGTAGCAACTGTGCTGGATTTTGGTGTAGTTTCATTCATAGTCTTATTTGTTTGATTATGAAGGGCAGGAAGCTGATCATTATCCAAATCGAAGCCGTAAAAACGCAGTATTTTTTTAAAGTTTTCATTGAATGTAACGTTTTCATTATTTAATGCTAGACCTGCCAAAAAACCCTCTTCGGGAACAAAATAGGTCTGGAATTGAAACCAAATATGTTATTTTACAATTGTTTATGGACGGGTACCTACTAGTTATATAGTAATAATAACTTGGAAACAAATTATAGTGATCTAGCCCGAAACAAGGATTCCCTATACTATAATCTAAAGATATACTTTACTACGGCTAAATATATACAAATATTACTGGTGGTAGGACCTCTTGTGGGACCGCACGGATAGGTACCACCATCCTGCCTATTTCTGCCGTGAAGCAGTAATGCGTTTTGGTTTGAAGGGTGGGGCAGCCGTTGTAACTATACTGAGATCTTAGAACTTATATCTCAAGGTGGGTGGCGCATTTACGTTTTAGATGTCTATGGGCTCCAGTAACCACTTAACACAATTAACACAAATAAAGAAATAAAAAAATATATAGTTATTAAACACCAAGGCACAGAGTAAACAAACTGTGATCTTACGGATGTTTGCCCGTTGTGGGAATCGAACCCACGACTCGGCTCAGCACTTAGCGGTGCTAACTCCAGCACCACCGAGTCAGTCAAAAACCACACGTTCTTTCACTATAAAAAATAAGGGTTTCCATACAAACAGTTATATACTCCATTGAAGGCGGAAGTTATGTCATTGTGACCAACACCAGTTGGTAATGCTGTTACTGTAGTTCCTACCAATTATCAATCGCTTTAGTTACAGATCAACTGACTCAAAACAATTGACTTCGTTCAATGCCCTATCATTTCGTTTTGAGACTAGGATCTATAGATAAAGGCGAAATAAAAAAAAGTGTAAATAAAAACTTAAAACCTTATGTAGTTAGTTCCAATTTTTTTTCAATTAATTGTAATCAAAATATATAAACATTGAAACTGCAGCGACGTCAATGACAACACGCAATGCATTATTAGCGAATGTATTTCAAATATGCAGAGATAGGGAAAGTTTAACCCCTTTTTCAAGTTTCTTGGGTATAAAACCCTTCATAGAAATAAAGACAATTGAGTATTTTTAAACAGTTATCCCTAATAGAAATGTAATACCTGAAAATCGATGCTATTAAATTAATAAAATAACTCAGTTCAGTATTTCTTCTCATAAATTCCAAAAAAAGATTTGGAAGAGAATTAGTAAAAAAAAATTATGGCTTAAAGCTAATTGTAATGAGTAAAATACTCACTTTTAATGTTCGGTGAATGTCTCGAAACCCGACTCTCATGATTTTTCGGTTCCACGGAAGCTGTATCGCTCGTTGCAGTTGATATGAAGACTCACCATCGACTCCTTCGTACAAGGCTACCAGAATGCCCATTAAGCCGTATGGCGAAAACGCAATGTTATTCTCGTTCAGAAAATTATGTTCCGCCAATACTTTTAGGCCGAACTCATTTGTAACATCCACCATATGTGCCAGAGGTGTGCGTCCGGTATCCCATAGCTTTATTTCTATGGGAACTCCATAATCAGCGCTCTCAGTTAACTTGATACACGCGTATAACAAGTTGCAGAACAGGCCTGCGGCGGCGCAGGACAACGCGCGTCCACTACGGCGCATCGTGTCCACGGTTGTGATCTGTCGTAGCGCCTTGCGCTTCGCTGACCACAACCCGCGTATCATCTCTAAGCTAATCCTCGAGTTTAATTAACGTTTTAAGACCCCGAACTTTCGGTGAATGCCCTCTATAGCTTCAGGCACGCGAACGTTCGCACGATATAATTTGTAAGACATATGTATAAGGTTCGTATTGGTATAATCAATTCAATAAAGACCGTTATAAATTAAATCGACTATTCATAATAGATAATACACACGGTGTACTCGTATCTGTCGATTCGTGCAATTATTGAGTAGTTTCATTGGTTCATGCTCGGACGGTACCAATTTAAATTTATGTAAATAAGTACATGCCTAACCTGTTAACGAAATAATTATATCGGGACAAAACAATTGTAAAAAAGGCAGCGATTTGCAATATTGAATAATTGTAGGCTAATTTCTGCAGGTAGACTGTCCTATGAGCCCCCGCTGCATCTCGCCTTCTCAGCCTCTTGAAAGTCGAGCTTTTTAATACCATGTTATGTAGAGTACCGCCCATATACCTATATCACAATAAAGTTAATGGCACCCTTATTGAGTCACGACATCGAAGTTACGATTTTACTGTTAGACATCTCGCCGAAACATTCAATACGAAATGCATGACTAATTAATGAATATCCGCATATCGCATGACTGTCCCACGGCAGACATAGGGTGCTGCTACGTACCTATATCTGTGCTAATGCACAATACTCATACAACATGAATAAAAAATAATTATCCAGTTTGGAATATAGATGAAAATGGAAGTAACTAATAGAAATAGCTTAAATAAGTCGAGGTCGCTTACGAATATTCTAATTAAAAGTCGTACTAGTGAGCTGTCGTTATTAAGAGTATTGTCATAAAATCCAAAATGTTATCAATTAATTTAAAGAAAAAGTATGTTTTCAAATGATTTTAGATTCCATCTGCTGTAAATATTGGTGTAAAGAAAAGAGTTTAAAGAACTAAAAATAGTATTTCAAAAATAGCATTATTTGATTTATTTGTTGTTCACAACTACACTTGTGTCCCATTCCTGAGACACCTGAGAGACCTTACGTCTTGATCTCCAATGTTGTTAAACATGTTATTGGCACCGAAGGTACGCGAGATTATTCTATCATCCTAAAGCAGCATTTGATGCTATCTTTTTTTTTTCCTACCTAAGTTGGTAGCCTTGAGAGGCTATTCCAGCGTAACTTTAACTAGTAGATTAATCTACCACCGGATCGGATTCGCGACCCACTGAGAAGATCCGGCGAGAAACTCAGTGGGCTGTGTCTAACGGTTAATTTACTCGTCGAGCCTTTCGTCGCAAGCGACGGGTTCGACGAGAACGGTGACCGGTGCTTGAGGTACCTAAAAGCACCGTTAGTGGATCGGGAGGATCCGAGATGACGTATTTTGGGCGACGTCGACTGCTTTCCATTCTTTCCGCAGGATCGGGAATGTAGTTACCGGCGGCCACGATGAGAGGGTTCTCGTGTCGTGCCGCTTTATCGAAGTGGTAATGCTATCGATACACTGTCATTGGTATGTAGATTGAAAAAGGTAGAAACGTAGAACGATCATGATATCGGAGCAGCCGCCATGAACAAATTGAAGTCTATACTAAGGTATTTATTCTATGAAATGGTGATTCCAAAAATGATGTCAATTTTCAAATAGATGTTGGCGGACATTCATCTTATTAAAATAAAGCAGTATGCGTTTTAAGTTGAAGACTTTTCATATGCTCGCTTAAAAAATGTCTAACTTCACAGACAGACGTCGTTAATTTTACGCTATATATGCCACTTTTGCTTCTAAATCCTAACTATGCTGTGTATTCGAATTCTAATAACAATTCTTTTATTCTATATAATTAATGATGAGCCACACCAAGATTCCATATAAAACCTGATAGCTAATGAGACGTCCGCCGACCGAGGGAACCGGTGGTCGTGTCACTGGTGTCCGCCGGTTCGGCGTCTGGGAGACGGCGGGATGGATGTAATATACTCTGCGTCAACCCTATCCCGCCGTCTCAATGGCCCCGATTGGAGTCGAGCGCCGGCTGTAAACGTCGTTTGTCGTCGTCGTGGCCTAAAAGATAAGACGTCCGGTGCATTCGTATCTAGCGATGCACCGGTGTTCGAATCCCGCAGGCGTGTACCAATTTTTCTAATGAAATACGTACTTAACAATTGTTCACGATTGACTTCCACGGTAAAGGAATAACATCGTGTAATAAAAATCAAACCCAAAAAATTATAATTTTTGGCTGGAACGCGAGGAATTTTTATTTTATTTTAATATTTTAGTCCGTTTAATTAATTAGTTACCTACGAATTGCTAATTATTCAATGGAATCATTTGATCTGACTTCTTTGGTTCTTTCAAGCTCCCAAGGTCTTAAGAAGTCATACAATTTTACTGAGAGGTAATTTATATCGAGGGGTGAAAGGTTCAAGCGACATTTCATTTAATACCTAAGCGCCATTACATAATCTTTGTAATTAATAGTTAGTTTTATTTTATATTAGCATCAATAGTTCGTAGTTTTTTATTGAACTTCAATTAAGTATATCTCATTCGTACAGCTAAATAAGTTTTTTGTTTTGATATTTTTTCCAAATTTTAAACTTTCAACGGCTCTCGTGTAAAGTTGAAAAATTATCACATTAACCAAATAGCCTTTCACCCCTCGATATCATCTTATTTTATTTCATTCAACTTCATTCCGTAATCTTCATAATTTCTCCTCTTTATCTTTTTGCAAAATGCTAGGCTGTTTAGGCTATGTTCTCTTTGTCTACCTAATCGGACAACTGGAAGTATGAATCTTCCATAAATCAAACAAACAAACACCACTCTACATTGAATTAAACACGCGAGTGTAATCTGAAGTTTAATTCTGAAATTAATTTAACTGATAATTTGTGTTTGAGGGTTTTCTCATCATTGAGTAATTTTCTTTTAGTGTATCAGTAGAACCGCTAAAGTGGAAGTTCTCGAGGATAAATTTAAAACTCTGTGCAAAATGTCTACGGATTTTTACATACGATATTATGTTGGACACAAGGGAAAGTTTGGCCACGAATTTCTCGAATTTGAATTCCGGCCTGACGGGAAACTGCGTTATGCCAATAATTCCAACTATAAAAACGATACAATGATACGTAAAGAAGCCTATGTTCACCCTTGTGTAATGGACGAATTAAAAAGAATCATAATTGATTCCGAAATCATGCATGAAGATGATCGCCTGTGGCCACAACCTGATAGGGTTGGTAGGCAGGTATGTTAAAATTCCACAACTAACAAATTTATTAAGGTTTTCCAAATTTCCTGAAAAAATTTTTCATTTCAAAAAGTTAAATTTATTCTAACCTAAAACATAGATTTTTAATTATATGTGTGTATTTTTATTTAAAGACAAATTTAACACGGAAATGCAAAGTAAAACTAAGTTTTTTACTTTATTCTTTATGAAACAACCAAGTTGATGAACTATGAACTATGAACAATCCTACCCTAAATCTAATTTGAGGCAAACTCAACACTAAATGAAATATTAAATGCCTACATAGAAGTTATTCATCATCTTGGATTTTCACTTTAGTTTTCTGGTTCACATAGCGAAGATTTGCTAAAAGTATTTGGTATTTTCAAAGTACTAGCCCTGAAAAAAGTTAAATCAACCAAAGAGTTTTTGGATTTTAAATGTTTTAATTAGGACTGATTTGTAATATGACCTGCCAAAAGGTTCATTTAAGGACATTCTAATACCATCTTTAGCTTTACTGCCCTGTACCATATAACATTATATTTTGTAATTACTGGCCCACTCTGTCAATTTAAATCTATAATTGCTTCATAGTAGAATTATGCAGAATGTTGGCGCTAACTTAGTTCATGGCCATACAGTATGCTACCACCAGTAATTATAATACTTAGTCTCTTGATTGATGGAAGTTGAAGGCAATCTGCTACAGCATGGGTCTTTGTAGGTTACTGCTTGGCCACAGCACACTCATCTATGTCTTTTTAAGTCTTCTTCTTCTTAGTCTTGATTTTGCTTTGAGTGATGCATTTGCTTTAAAATTAGGTGGCCCACAGACTTGATTACACATTCTTAACATTAAATTTGCTAATCTTCCTATTCGTACACTCTTGACAGAGTGGTCATGGTCATGCATCAGTCGGATCCTGCGATACCGATGCTTTTGCTAATAGCTGAACTATAATGGAAGCTTGTTTAGACATGTAGATCATTGAATTATTATTTAGAATATTTTACAAATTTGCAATGTTCTTCCGATAATATATAGGAAATAGTTGAAAAATCTCCCAAATTCCTTTCTGATTCTTCTCAAAATGTAAAAAATTTTTTTTTAATAATTTTAAGTAACATTATTTATAATTTATTATTTGAACTTTAATTTATACAAATTATATTAAGACGTAAACATTAATGCTGTACTAAACACTATTTTTATTAATTTTCAGGAATTAGAAATTGTTATTGGAGAAGAGCATATTTCTTTCACTACTTCTAAGACTGGATCTTTGGTTGACGTGAATCAATCCCGCGACCCTGAGGGTCTTCGTGGGTTTTATTATTTAGTTCAAGACCTTAAATGTCTAGTATTCTCTTTAATTGGGCTACATTTCAAGATTAAGCCTATATAAAAATTATAATCTCCTATTCTTGAGTAATAAAATATTTACATATAACAGTTTTATTTATTTTAATTAAGCCAAACACAAGTAAACAAGCCAAAGTAAAAAATTCATACAGATAATAAAATTATAGATATGCAAAAACCTAACTAATGCCCATAAAGAGTAATAGATGGTAAATAAATGATCTTATATTTTTGGCTTGATTATTTTGGTTTTTAATGTTAATTTACCTCTTTTTACATAAATTTCAAAAATATGTAATATGGCAATGTTAATAATGTTTACTGTCTCTGCCAAAAAAATCTGCTAAGAACTCCACTAACTCCCACAACACATGTATGGATACCTAAGTGCAATGCAAGATTATTTTATGAATTAATCTACACATTACACTTATTCTTTCGATTGTCTCCAATAATTAAGAAACTTTTTAAGAAATAATAATGAGAAATATGGTGTGAATTTTATTTTCGGTGTGGAGAAGATAAATTTGTATGTGTACAAGTGCCGAACAAAACGATTAGGCCATCAGTCTACAAATTGAAAAATCTAGCAATTTAGGTGAATTAAAATTTTATTTCCAACAATTATACGATATTCCTGCCTGAAATAATTCCTTAAATACTTGTTGTATTTTGCTGTCGAAGCACGTCCGGACACGGAACAAGTTGCATCATTTCATAGAATTTAAAAACGATTCTTGCGACGTTCATTGCCGCCTTTGCCCTGAGTGTTTAAATGCGCAAACTATAGGCGATTGGGAACACCGATCCGCCCCTCCGTTACTCTACGCATGCGCAATTGTTTCCTAACTGTATGAATTTAAAACCGTGGTACTGAGTTGATAGTACAATTTGTAAAAAAAGGATGAATATTTTGTTATTTTATAACAAGTTAAAAGTCAGCACAAAAGCATAAAAAATATGGTAATAATCTCAACACTGTGGCAGGCCTAATTGCGCGGGTGTTCCGAACTCAAAAAGCTGCATCTGCTAATTGAAATACACACACTTAACAGTGTGCTTTGTGCGAGTTTTTTAACGTTCTCAATAGCGTAAAAGTTAACCCAATTTTGTATGCAGTTGGAACAGCGCCCCTAACGGCAAACGTAGGCAAACGATCCCATTCCATACAAATATGAGTTAACTTTTACGCTATCGAGAACGTTAAAAAACTCGCACTAAGCACTCAGAACAGGCCACTGGCACCTTTAGTCCGCTCTCAGTCTGTCGGAATTTCAAACAGCTTCTTTTATATTTGCATTTTAGTAACGTTCGCCGTAATAAGTTTGAAATTTGCAGAAGTTTTTGGATCTTATTATTAGAATAAAACATATTACTAGGAGCGGTGTTATGTCTACCTATTCGCTGGTAGCTGAGGCTACTTCAGCTTCGCCCGAACGAATAGGTGAGTTAACGGGCTCAATCTGAGAAAATTTGCTAACATTAACCCTAGCAAGAGCAGTGCTTCGCAAAATCTACCAGCAGATCGGAATCGCGACCCACTGAGAAGATCCAGCGAGAAATTCAGTGGGCAGTAATATATTTGTATTTTTGTCGTATTTATTGCTTAAATTGAGTAGAACAAGTTTATTTTTGTATATCTCCTTCTCAAGTCTTTAACTGTTTTTTTTTCTCCCTAAGCTTATGGTCTAGAGTACTCTAGAGAGACCATGTCAGCGTCGCCGGGTTAGTAAGTAGTAACTGAGCTGACGGGGCTCAAACCTGACGATGTTGCTAACACAAACGCTAGCTAGAGCTGTGCTTCGCAGAATCTACCACCGGATCGGAAACGCGACCCACTGAGAAGAACCGGCGTGAAACTCAGTGGGCTGTGTCTGTGGGTTAAACTTTATGTTTTGTGGCCTAATACCTAATAGTATCTACTTTTGTTGTAAGATTTCAAAGCTGTCATCGAACAGTTGAAACAATAAATTACTTATTGTATGAAACTACTAATTTCGACTTAGAATGCTTTTCACATAATCAATGGATGAACGACATCTGACAACAAGCCGGCTACAACTGTGTAAAGGTTGCCCAAGATGGCAGACTAAGTGTAGAGGAAAGAAGAGAAGGCTTGCGAAGACAAATACAGAAAAGTAAACATAAATTGATAATCGATATACCAATGGAATATGCAATTAATAGGATGATAGTTAATGCTCCATTTACCTTGTTTATTTTAAGTTTTACCAGAACAGGATGCCAAAAATTTCATTACAAAAAACATCAAGTTCTATGGCACTGTTTATTTAACTCTGATTTTTTTCTCGGAAAAAACATTTGCACGAACATTTATTGAAATATTTTTCTACAAGATTTTAGCAAGATTCATTATGGCCAATTTAAATTTATCACCTTAGACAAAAAAAAAGACTGAAAACAAAAGCAAATAATTATTAATAACAATGCTTAAATTTCTATGTGAACCTAATGCATTGGATTAGATTTACAAATCTATAATGTAATTTTAAAAAATCATAATTTGAATTTATTATACAAGCGTGAAGTGAGTAAACGATTCATTTAAAGCGTAAAATGAAACGATGCCGCGTTATGTATTTATGTTTATAGTTTAACTTTGCGCGTTGCGCGCGCACTGCATCTGCCCGACCAACCGATTATGGCGGACAGACAGTGAAGAATGATAATCGCCTTTTCTAAATCAGAAAGTATCGACAACAGCCAATGGCATAAACCGGGTTTTTTGTAAAATTGTACATTGTAAATAGTTCTGTGTACATATAGTAATTATATTTGTGGTCGTTTTGTTTAGAAATTGTGTGAATAGTGTAAATTTTTCAGTGTTTATTCAGTTCAGTATTCGACACCGACAAATACTTCTGTTTATAGTTAATACTACAAAATAGTCTATAATTAGTAAATTTTGAAGTTGTACTAATATAATATCGTATAAACAGGAAGTTTCAAATTGTCCTTTGTTTAAACTTTTCAAGCAAACCGTTGTACCGAGTCACCGAGTGCAATATTTTGGTTTCTCCAGCGGCTGTCATCGTGCTTGATAAACTACTGTCAATACAAAGAAACATAGGTTTAAAAGTCACTGAATGGCAAAGTTTTTGTAATACTAGCAATAAAATTAGTCAGCTAGATAATGTAAACTATTGACAACAGAAGACTATTTTGTTTTTGTTCAAAATCAAAGGGAGCGTCATATATTCCGTAAAACAGGAAAGCGGAATACATTTACGAGTAGGAAAGATTAAATCATCGTAAAGCTGAATGCTCGAACCTCACGGTAGCCCAATGAAGTGGCCAGGTACCGGAGTAGAAGAAGAGGCGGGAGAAGCAGGGTTGCAAAACGTGCGCCCTTCACAAACTCGCAGTCAGGACGATGCCTCAGTGCATTACGTATTCCAACGTGAACAACAAGAAGGAGAACTCACTTCCCTAGCTCATAAGCAAAGGTGGGCTGTTGGAGAAGATACTATTGCTGAGGTAGCTATGATTTAATTACAAAAAAATATTTTCGTTTATGTTTGTTTTTGAATGCTTAAATTTGTTTGTCTATAAACATAACCTCAAAAATGTTGACATAGTGGTAGTTATGACTAATTAATAATGAAGTTGTCTCATACAAACGTAGATAGCTTGTGATATCGAAATTTAATGAATAAGTAATAAATTTGGAATCTTGTTATGATTTCAGAGTCAAGATAAATGGAAAAATACCACACCTATAACAATGAATAATATACATCAACAAGGACCAGCTATACAGCTTAAAAATTCCCAAACAAATCAACAACAATACATTAATCAAGCAATTGCTTCTTCGGTTTCAACTTTGGCTATGAACCCCTCTGTTATTGGCAGTCACCCTGCACATCTAACAACCAACATGGTTCACACACAACTGGCACCAATGCAAAACCATACATTGGGTAGCAGTTTGACAATTCAAAACAGTGCAATGATGATACCTGCACTTCAAAGCATTCAAAACCCAGCACAATTAGGTCAACAAGGTCTTTATGATATTCATCAACATCATGCTAACCCAATGCAAGCCATGAATGGCATTGGTAAAACAGGAGAGCATCTCATGTATTTAAGTCAGGCAGGAATGTTAGCTCCTGGAACTAACCAGTTTTTGCAACAAGGACAAAGTCAACTTGGGCTTACACCTGTTGCTACAATAAGGAATCAGGTAAGAATAAGAGAAATTACTATTAGAAATCAGGCCATTGATTATGATGAAAATAAATTTTGGTGAATTGCATAGTTTAGTTTTAGAGCATCAAATATAGTAAATTACAGCTTACCATTTTGAATATCAGCAAATTAGCTTGCAATACTTGCAATATTAACTTTTCACAACACTTTTAAAGTTATTCAACTAATAATGATTTAGATTCAATTATAAAATTACTATTTACCTGACTACTGGACAAGAGTACTGTTTTTGAACATATATCTAATTCCGTGGCACCCTACATCTTGTTGTTGGACGTTAGTAGGTGATGTATATTAGATTCATCTCAATTGTGTGAGTAGCTTGCAGTATACGGTTACAATATTTTGTCCTTGTATAAAAAATTAACTAAAAAGTCAGAAATAAGATAAATTATATAAATTCAAAGAAAAATAAAAATAGCTTAATGCTATTAAACATCTAGCTAAACTAACACAAAAATATACTATAAAAGAAATAAAACTTGAACAGTGGTTGAGGCACTGCAATGAAATGAAACAAATTCTTCCGTAATTTATATGTTACTATTGGAATGTTAATGTTAGTATTCATTAAAGTTAAGTTCTATTTTTTTTTGTAATACAAAAACTTTATCAAAAACTTATGTGCACAGACTAATAGTAGCAGTAGGTAATTTTTTTTTATAGATTAAGTTATGAACAAATGATGTTCTTTTAACCAAATACAGTAGTAAGTATATTAAATTCTTTAGGAGAACACCCTCTACAAATGTGGGATAGCAACATTGTGATTTTTTTATTTTTTTTAAGTTTGCTTTTGGACTCACTTCACAATAAAGCTCAGAAAAAAGTTTTTTTAGTCCTTCAGTACATAACTTATTGAACATTTTACAGATTTTGAATATTTCTTCAATGAGAAATGCTGTGACTATAAAATATTCAATTATTACGAGTCATTAGTTATGGAACTTTGGTTCAAATTATACTTAACATTGTTGATTTGTCTGTTTTTCATTGGTGCTTAAAAATAAAGTTCCAATTTACATTTTCTGTATATTACAGCCATTTTAATTGAGGAACATTAATAATGGAGTACCACCATTGTTACTGTGAAATAGTACAGCAAGCTTTGACCCCCTATGAGAAAGAAAATATTGTATGACCATAGTTTTTTAACATACAAGTGAAGTTCTGAGTTCTGTTTTGTCAAGAATTAAATGCTTAGGAAACAATTGAGTTTATGCTTCCTTAGTGGCTTTAAAATAAACATTTATATCAGAACACAATTGCCACCTAATGTCTTCTCATTTGGCCTGATTGATAACATTTATTGTTATCATGTGAAATCAGTTGGAGGTAAAAATCATACTAAGACAGTTTTATATGACAGTGATTTTGAAAGAATTGAGGGATGGAAGAATGGTCTGATAATAGGATACCTCACACTTCAAAGAGGCAATTTCAAAAGTCTTGCTGTTTTCTAACATACAAAATAAATGGAAGAATAAACATCATTCACTTCATGCAAACAAAATTAAAAGAACTCCATCTAGTTTACTTTAATACTTATTATTCTACAATCTGTTTATTATGACTTAAAATGAATTTGATCAATGTCAATATTATATGTTATGAAGTTTTCAATTATTCTTGTATTTTATAGAACTATGTTAACAATTTTACAATAATAGTACCACCGGATTCTTCAACCAATAACTATCTATTGCCACATAGGGCTCGCCACTAGACTTTCATTAAAAATCTTCAGAACAGCTTAAATATAACATTCTTTTATTTTTCAAATCCATGACATAGTGCTTTGTCTATACTAATATTATAAAGAGGAAAGATTTGTTTGTTTGTTTGTTTCGAATAGGCTCCGAAACTACTGGACCGATTTGAAAAATTCTTTTTCCATTAGAAGCCGACATTGTCCCTGATGAACATAGGCTACTTTTTTTTAATTTTTTTTATTTTTATTTTTTGGTTTCATGTGTGTTTTAATGTTTCCGAAGCGAAGCGAGGGCGGGTCGCTAGTAAAATATATATACATTTAATTTAATAAATTGTTTATTAAGCATTTCAAATTTCAGAAAGCAGGGTGGCCTTACTCACAAAAATATATAATCAATCAAACCAATAAAATAATATCCCATCTGCTTCGAATTTAGTAAATGACCATGTGTAGGTAAATCATTATATCGATGCAATGAAGTAATTAGTCAATAAATTACTAAATGTTAATAATCTCAATACAAACACCAGAAAGTATTTGACACAGCTGAAATTTCACTATTTTTCAACTTGTTTGAAAAAGTAAAAACTGAATGCCATTTAATGAAACGAAACGAAAATGAACTGGGCTACTAAGTTCATCTACTTCAAAAATGATAATAAATTTTTGGAAAAATTAGAATTGTCATGAATTAGTGGGCATTGAACAAAATCATCAATGTCAACATTATTATCTAACAAAAAAATGTGAAATTGACCTATTTGCTATACATAACTTGTGATTTAATTAATTTATGTGATTCTGAAATTTTATAAAGATACTATTAAGTCAACATGAGCTTATTGTAAAGTTTCGTAATATTACTATACAATATATATTTTTTTATATGGAATATATTTATATATTTGGAAAAATGCTAATACGTCATTTTTGTCTAGTATTGAATCTCGATTAAAGTAATTTGCCAACTTAGTTCTTCGTTAAACGGAACGACCATTTAAATATAACGTAAACTAAAATCTATGGATGTACCCATATTCCATTAGCGCGCCATCTATTACACAGAGCGCTAAACTTTGCTCCTCATGACGCTTTCTGTTTATGGGAAATATAACGCAGGCGCTAAAGTCAGCGTTCGTCCTTTGTTCGAAACAAGTCAACATTGTATTTTGTGTTTGGATCATTCTAGTTATATATATACGTAACTGAAGTGCATTTAATATATCAGTTATGATAAATTACCGCTAAATTGATTTGAATAATAATCTAGCACAATTGTTTAATTCTTAATTCGACCGTAAACTTTCGTGTGCTTTGAGGTTTGCACGCATGAAACCCTTGAGTGATTTTTTTTTTCAAACTAATGTTAAGGGAATGGGCCCCGACATGGTGAGTTAAGCTGTTGCTAATTTTGTAGTTTAACTCATTAGAAAACTATTTTAAGTCATCAAAACGTGAAAAAATTTGCTTTTTCACGCAACAGGTTCGTTTTTGTTTTGTTTACTTGTCACCGGCGTCCGCCATTTCTGAATTTGCCCATGGGTTATTGTAGCTTGTAATTTTAGTTCCACAGTCGCTAATCACAAGTACTAAATAGTTTCAACAAATTCATTTTCTGATAAATTATGCGGTGTTGTAATCACAATTACTTTTTTTAACTTCAATAAAGAGTTTAGAACAGTTTTATTAGTTTCAAAGTTTCTCAACTTTTTGTTGTGGCATTGTTTGTAAGTCTATGTTTACAGAATAAAGTTCTGAAATGCGGAATAATGTATATTAACATCACTTAAATGCATATTTTACATGCCTAATTTACATATTTGGCATTGATTTGTTATCAACTTCTTTTATATTGTTTATTTATGTATATCTAAGTATATAAAACCAAGCAGGCTTCTTAATGTAGTGGCTTAAAATGTTTTGTGATGTAAAAATAAATCTATATGTACTTAATAACTTCAGAACTAAATAATTAGAACACGAAAAAAAACTTGTTTTATATAAATAACTTTGTTGCCAAAATAAGTTACATATTGTAAATGAGTAGTAGATGTTGATGTTTATCTCGATTATGATCATTGTTGTTAACATTTTTATTTTCTTAGAGCATTATTAAACTTTTTAAAGCTATTAAGTGCACATAATATAGCAGTAAACAATTTATCTACAGTGTAGTAGTAGTAGTAGTATATATGAAAAGTTTATGGTCCATATTAAAATCAAATAAATTGATTCGTTTCCTTGATCCACAACAGTAAAAAACCTTAGTATTATAGGTTATTATTGTTACTAGGAATTTAGTTTGGTCTATTGTCTGTCTTTAAAACTTATTTGCCAGTAATTGGTATTTGTTTACACAATAGTGATCTTTTAAAAATAAAAAAAATAAAATCCTTACGATGACCACTCAGATAATATGAAAGGAGCCTACAAAAAGCTTTGAAATGAGTCAAAGAGTGCCTCCAAGCTTAAACCAACAAATAAATGAAATATAAATAATCTATGAAGAAAAATATGTAGAAGTTTAAAATAGATCATAATTGCAGATTCAAATTTGCAAAAAAAGTAAAACAAATGTTAGGGGCTAGGATGAAAACATAAATTGAAATAGAAAAACTAAGTTGTTGTAAGATTTACAAATCGAATGATAAACATTGTTAGATCAGTAACATATTAGTCACACTTTTAAATCTTCAGTAACTAAGTTCAATTTTCACACAAAAGGTAGAGGAAATATACATCCTTTGTTAGTCTGAATTTTTTCATAGTCCCATGTTTTAAAAAAATCTTATGTGATTGAAACGTAATAGAAATTAAACAAATCTGTATGTGGTGTGCTAGCCATATAAATTATCTAATAAATTTTCAAAAGCCGTTTTGTCACTTTGATGGTTGTGATATGTATAAGATGTAATCTTGGAGCCTTCACAGAAAGATTCTACAAGAAAATTATCATATGTAGGTTTAGAGCAAGTGGATGTGTATAGTACACTCAACTCTGCATAGGTTCCCTTAGCCTGTTTGTCTGTAAAAAAGATAGATTCTCTTTTACTCAATCTTTTACTGTACTCTGCAAGTCAGGACAGGTTCAGTCACAAACTTTCGACTGGGCACCGTTAATAGCTTACTTATCATCAGGTGTGGAGACTAAGAGTCAGGCTCTCGCAGTGAGTTTCCATATTGCTCTAAAGCCCTTAACAGTTTCATAGAGGCCACATCTTTTGAAACTACCTAATTCCCTGAGGGAGTCAGCAAGTGGGTGGGTAGCCATGTTTTTTTGTTAGAGTTGTTTGCATGGTCATGACATTTGCTGAGGGCACCAAATGTCATGACCATTGATTGCTGCTGGTGTTCAAGAGCAGTTAGTGCTATCCTCTACTCTTTTTATGCAAATCAATTCTATGCTACCCAACAATAGCATAAATTGCTTTTTAATGTTAACATAGGGAATGCTCAATATAGTGTCCACTAGAGAATTTAATTAAATATTTTGAGCTGTTTAGAGGCAAAGTTAAGTTTACTTCTAAAATGTCTGAACTACTTAATGGAGCAGAGAGATATAATACTTTACGCCAGGACAAAGTTTATAATTATTATGCTTTATAAAGCACAGGTCGAATTTTGTGGGGAGTACTGCTCCTAAATAATAATAGAGCTCCTAAATACTGCCTACTTCATTTTAATTCCATACAGAGAACCATTTTAATTGTCAATAATTTTGTTTAGGAGCAGGTTTATTTAGAATCACTGCAATGATCCACTGAGCATTTCCAGATACCTTTTTTATGCCAGACATCATCTGCCTGTAAAATGAACCTCTCCCTCCACGTTGCTACCTGTGGTACTATTGTGGGACCTTCTTGAGTTTACTGGTGGTAGGACCTCTTGTGAGTCCGCGCGGGTGGGTACCACCACCCTGCCTATTTCTGCCGTGAAGAAGTAATGCGTTTCGGTTTGAAGGGTGGGGCAGCCGTTGTAACTATACTTGAGACCTTAGAACTTGTATCTCAAGGTGGGTGGCTCATTTACGTTGTAGATATCTATGGGCTCCAGTAACCACCAGTAACTTAACACCAGGTGGGCTGTGAGCTCGTCCACCCATCTACGAAAAAAAAAACTAGTTTTGAAAAGCGTCTACAGCAGTAGCCAATGGCTTGGCCGTACCCCTGCCATTGCTGATTACTATGAGTGACCATGAGCAAGTAGGCTGTATAGTTATCTGTTTACAGTGCCAAAAAAATTACGAAATTAGTTTCTATACCCACTCTTTCACTGTACACATGATGAGTTTATAGAACTCGCTGTCTCGAGCACATCTACGATCCTTAACCGGAATTTTCTGGTGGAAGTGGACTTATGCCCGTACGAGTAGATACCATACCTCCCCATATTTGAGACGCGAAGCAGTCGTGATTTTTGTTTTGAGGGGTAGGACAGCCGCTATAATGTACAATTGAGGCTTTGACCTCGCGTGTGTCTAAAGGTGGGTGGGGACATCACGCTGTGATGTCTATGGGTCCCGATAACTTCTTTAACTCGTTGATCGCCATATGGGTCACGGGTGCCCTGCGTGGCGCACTGAAGTAATTATGTCGATTTCTGTTACTAAGACGCCGGAATATCTAACAAAGTCTGGGAAATACCAATTCGATACTGAGAATGAATCTATTTGTAAGAGTTCTAAAAGACTAAAACATACATTAAAAACAAAATAAGGCAATCCAAGCGCTTCGTGACAGAAATCGACATAGTCACTTCTGTCACTATCTATCACTGTAGTCTACAATAATTTAATCAAATAATTTTGCTGCAATTTTCGATTGTTGAAAACTTTTAGCTTTGTAAATTTTCATATCCAAAGAGTTCAAAGTTAGATAAAATGCACTTTTTTATTTCGATACGACCATTTTAACCGAAATTCAAAAATGAAATGTAAGAAAAGGTGTTAATCCCTTATTTAATTCTTAAATGTAAATTTATTGATCCATTTAAGCAATGTCAATGATAGTTTTGTTTGTGGTAAAGAGGTTACTTAAAATTTAAACTGTATTTTTTATTAATTATACTTAAGTAAAAGAAAACTAGGATAGACTAACCTTTTAAAATGTATTTTAGATTGCACCTGCTGCAAAAAAGCTATGGGACAAGGGGCCAGGCGCCGGTGGCGATACCAAAGGCCCTCCGCACCTGCCTCCACTGCAATTGAACCCCGACCAAATGTGGCGTGATCCTACTTGGTCTGCTCAAGGTTGGCGATTATCTATTCTAAACTATTTATTAATACCGCATTCGCAGTAACGAGAGAAGCTAAACCCGACTTGTGACGAAGGGCTCGACGAGTAAATTAACCCACAGACACAGCCCACTGAATTTCTCGCCGGATCTTCTCAGTGGGTCGCGTTTCCGATCCGGTGGTAGATTCTGCGAAACACGGCTTTTGCTAGGGTTCGTGTTAGCAACGTCGTTAGGTTTGAACCCCGTGAGCTCACCTACTAGTTAAGGTTACGCTAAAATAGCCTCTCAAGGCTCAAAAAAAAAAAAAAACGACCGCTTTGGTACGACAAGATTGAATGAAATATGGTTCAATGTTAAATTCCAACCCATAACTGTTTCCCAGCGAAATGATAAGATGTTACGTGGTGCCACTGATAAAGCATGAGATAATGTACTGGTGATAGGAGCTGTTATTTAACCTGGGATGTTATCGTCTTGCCCATTTCTGGGGTAAAGCATTAATTAATCCCGATTTGTCAATTGGGCTCACGTATTTAGGATATACTGATGAAATGTCGTCAGTACAGTCGTTTCTTAAACTAATTTGCAGAGGCTTAACTGTAACAATCCTCTTCCAAAAGATTCAAGAAATTTTATGTTTATTTCTCACTATGTTCTATTCTACTCCACTGTATTGTATTGAATTCACAATGATATATATCGGTAAATGAATAACTGAACGTGGTATTTTGCTTTAAATATTGAATATTCGCCTTTATTAATTCGGACTCATGTATTAATATAAGTGTTTTTTCTGCGATCACGGCTGTGGCTTGCCGGTTCTCATGGAGTGCTAGGGGGCGATGTCCTTTCGACGTGGACAGTGACTGTCGTTCGTCCACGAACGATAACTTATTGTTTGCCATTAAGAAATATGAAAACCAATTCCATGACGTTAATGATGCTATCTATTTTATAATTACCTATTCCAATTATAGATATATATCGTAAAACAAAAGGTGTATCAAAAGGAAATGTATATCTTAAATGCTTATTAACTATTAAAGTATGCAATTCGGGATTTTTTTTTAAAATATTTAGCCCGTCTCTGCAATAAAAATATGTTTATGTTCATGATGTGCCATGAAATCTCTACATAGAGTTATGATGATTATTTTATAATAAATGAATAGAAAAGAAACCAGAATCTTTTTCGGCGACACCCAATGTGTAGCTAAATTTACAATAACGGCTGCTGGGGATGAGTTTGAGTGATTATCTAATGGGATGTATAAAAAAGTCACAAATACTTGAAGATGTAAATAAAGTAAATTGATCCCGAACCCCCTTCCTATCTAACTCCCTATTTTCAATATCTTCACTCCAGCCATGAGCGAGCCCTACGTTCTCTCCATAGCCTATTAATTCGTTGTCCCACATACAGTTCTAGTTATGTTCGTAACTCTTTCGTCGTGCAGTCTGTTCTGCTATGGAATGCGCTTCCTCTCGAGATCAGGACTATTACTAACCGTTGCGCGTTCAAGTTAAGGGTTCGGCGAATGTTGTTGGAAAAGTTAGCGGAATCGTCATGAACTTATTAAGATGAAGTTATTTGTTAAGGAAATTTATTAATATACATATTCCTTTTAAAACTGTATAAACTATTATATGTATGTATGTATATGTGATTGAGTATATATGTATGTATATACTTTTTTTTGTGTATGTACATATTTGTAACTTAATATAAATTTCATTGCACCTACCACTATTCACTCTGCACTACCTTTGGTTGACTGGTAGAGAATGCCTTAGGCATTAAATCCGCCAATGTAAATTTTACATTAAGTGTAATAAATAAATAAATAAAATCACGGAGGAATGGAAATTACGTACAAAAAGGAAATATTATTTTTATTTTATAATTCTGTTTTCTTATTATTATTTATTTGCTGCTAAATTACATTTTTTTGTAGTTTTTAAACTATTTTTTTATTTATGCATTAGCTGTCGAACACAATGTCAGCGTCGCAATGATGGGAAACCGTCGTGGGGTTACTTTTCCCGGTGGAGACGCCGGCAGCATTCTCTCTCCTCGTGACACAGCTGGACTTGGTGTAAAAATGGTCGAATATGTCTTGGGAGGATCACCTACAGGAGGTAAATATCCCCAGTATAATTATGATACTAACGTAAATATCACTCATTTACTGAACTTAATAATATGAATAATATATAAAAACTTAATAAATTAACGAAAATTCAGAATTTCAAACTTCGAAAAAACAAATGTTAAAAAGAAAAACAGGAAAACGTCCTTGTACTAAGCATTTTTATATAAACGCTATGAAACTTGTTTATTTAATGTTGTCATCTCTACCTTCTTCAGCTGGAACAAAATAACATTGAAAAATAATGCAAATATAATATTCTGTAATAATTATGAAAATAAAAAGGAAATTCAAAAATAATATAATCGAATAAAAAAAAAAAAAAAAGAAAATAACATAACATCGTGTAATAAAGATCAAACCCGCAAAAATTGTAATTGCGCATTTACTAAAGAACTAAAACAATAGACTTCAAATGTGTACGTGGGTTTGCTGCATTCACATTATGGTGTGTACGGGCTCCGGTAACCACTTAACACCAGATTGGCGCTGGCCTGAGCTCGTTTGCCCGTCTGCACAATAAAAAATGTATATTACCCACATTACTGGTGGTAGGATGTCTTGTGAGTCGGTACGGGTAGGCACCACCACCCTGCCTATTTCGGCCGTGAAGTAGTAATGCGTTTCGATTTCAAGGGCGGGGCAGCCATTGTACTTACTGTTAAAACTCAGGCTTTACAATGGTTGCCGCCAGCATTAACGTTGTAGACGTCTATCGGCTCCAGTAACCACTTAACACCAGGTGGGCGGTGAGCTCTTCCAACCATCTAAGCAATAAAATAAAAACTAAAAAATGTTTTGCATAGCACACAATGTATGTAAGAAAAATAATCTGACGCGCGACCTCAGGCAGTTGTCTTTGCCTTATATGGTGAGCTCACGAAAAAGAATCATTTTTTTAAAACTATAATTATCAATTACTCACGCTATTAATATGGATAACTCAATATATAATAAGTGTATATTGTATATTGTATTTGTTGAGTTTAGCATAAAATACTTATTTGTTGTAATAGCTCATGTTTCTGAATACCTAAATTCAACGCGAAGGCAGCTGGCGGACGAGTCGCGGCAGTTGGTTTTAATTGTTTCATTTTTATTGCGGGGGTTGCCACTGTTGTTCTATCAAACACGTTTTTCTGTCTGAATAACTTACTCTAATATAAGCGAGCCGATTCTAAAATATCGTGTAATAAAAATCAAACCCGTAATATCGTGTAATAAAAATCAATAATTAAATTATAATTTGCGTAATTACTGGTGGTAGGACCTCTTGTGAGTCCGCACGGGTAGGTACCACCACCCTGCCTATTTCTGCCGTGAAGCAGTAACGCGTTTCGGTTTGAAGGGTGAGGCAGCCTTTGTAACTTGTTGTAGCCGTTGTACTATACTGAGACCTTAGAACTTATATCTCAAGGTGGGTGGCGCATTTACGTTGTAGATGTCTATGGGCTCCAGTAACCACTTAACACCAGGTGAGCTGTGAGCTCGTCCACCTATATACGCAATATATTTTTTTAAGAAGAACTTGAAACTTAAATTCGAAGTTACAATCGCACTGAGATTGAACGGTAAAACTAAACATGTCGCCCTAAATTCAGTTCGGATCCTCCCGATCCACTAACAGTGCTTTTAGGTACCTCAAGCACCGGTCACTGTTCTCGTCGAACCCGTCGCTCGCGACGAAGGTTTCGGCGAGTAAATTAACCCACAACACAGTCCACTGAGTTTCTCGCCGGATCTTCTCAGTGGGTCGCGTTTCCGATCCGGTGGTAGATTCTGCGAAACACGGCTCTTGCTAGGACTAGTGTTAACAACGTCCACAGGTTAGAGCCCCGTGAGCTCACGTACTCACACGTACAAAAGTATTTAATCGCAATGTTATAAAACTAATACATGTGTGTGTGTTGTTTGAAATGCTAAAGAAATATTTCTGGTTGCTGGAATATCTTTGTATGAGAATAAAGGTGTTTACGTAGGTGGAGGAGAGAAGGTCGCCGGCGTGGTGGCGGGCCTGCGCGGCATGGTGCTGGAGGAGCGCGCCGAAGATAAAGCGACTTCGCCCTTCGACAAGGACCTGCACGAGCTACACGAGCACGGCTCCCTGCCCAACGGGATACACAACGGACAAGAGGACGATAAAGCTTTTAAGTAAGTATCAATCTGGACATGAGTATTCGGAAGAAAATAACAATAAAAATATATCTTTTGATTTGGTCTCCAGTCTTTCTGTCTGTTCAAATTTTACAGCTATTTTATTTTTATTGGTATTCAATTTTGAACTGTAGTTTTTTTTTGATAATTAACAAAGTGTAGAGAAATTACGAAAAAAACATTACATGCCACACGTTTAATTGAAGAACAAAGACAAAGTAGGTACACAGAGTTAGCATTAACAATACTTTCCATTAATAAATAATTTAAATATATACTATGAACTTAAAAAAAAGCCAAATAAGTCTAGCCATTCTGAACTAATGTACTTATACTAATGAATGAATGAACCCCTTAATTTTGTAGAGATTCCCTATTATTTTATTAAGCTTGAGCGTTCATTCTCATTACGAAATGCTTCAATGTTTGTGTTATTCGACATTCCCTTGCTCAGTATTTTGTTGGACGTGGGAAGTATTTGTATGTACGACTTTCTTGCTTTCCTATCGACTTCATCGATTTAAGCTCTGTAATGCAGCAGACTGGTGGTAGGATTTCTTGTGAGTCCGCACGGGTAGGTACCACCAGCCCGCCTATTTCTGCCGTGAAGCAGTAATGCGTTTCGGTTTGAAGGGTGGGGCAGCCGTTGTAACCATACTGAGTCCTTAGAACTTATTTCTCTAGGTGGGTGGCGCATTTACGTTGTAGATGTCTATGAGCTCCAGTAACCACTTAGCACTAAGTAGGCTGTGAGCTCGTCCACCCATCTAAGCAATAAAAAAAATAATGTAATTATTATCGTAATGAAATAATAATCGTTCGAAGCTGACCGAGGGGGGGTATTGATTAGGACGTGACGTCGCGAAGGTCGCCGGGCGGCGCGCGGGCGGCGGGCAATAACCGCGCGCGGCTCGCGGCCTCCGACGCACGCGCAGACGACGCTCAGACGATTGCTCTCGTCCGCGTTCATTCTACACATGATTCACGCTGATAACTTGAGATAATGTCTGATACCTGCCTGCGGTGATGACTTCGGGTGACGCCGTTACGGTTATCGCTCGTTTACGTCATCCGTTGAAATTATAACTATAATATATAACTCCACAATAATGATGTAAAGCAATTCTTTATAAAAATAGGAGTGATTTGTCCATTTGTTTATTGATCTAGAACAGTCTTTGCCAATACGGGCGATAACGCCCCCTTGTGGGCGCTGCAGGCTTAATGGGGGGGGGGGGGGGCGGTAATAGACCCAGAACAAAATGTGGACGTTGTGTAGAGGCTTAGGAGGCGATTTGTAATTTTGTCTAGGAGGACTCTAAAGCCGAATTTACATTACGAAATTAGTGGCGTGAAATTAATTTCGTGACATTAGTTTTACCAACAGTTTCACGTGTAATTAATTTAATACTTTCGTAATGCATGCACTAATTTCATCCATGCAAATTAGTTTCGTGCCCTGCGCGATTTTTTGGTGAAATTAGTGTCATGCAACTAATTTCATAGTGTAGACGCGACGTAAGACATAGACTGAGCTCTCACTATAGTGGTATTTAAGTAGGTAGAAAAAATAGGGGCGCTAAAAAATATTCTCAAAGTGGGCAGTAGACAAAATAAGTTTGGGAGCCACTGATCTAGAATTTAAGTTCTCCATTTATTCCTTTTTAGAAATCCGCATCGCGTATTTACTGATTTGCATTGATTGAATAAATCAATGAATCAAATTAGTTTGCAAAATTATTAGCTGACGAGAAATAAACCAATTTTTAGCACGAATAAGCATTTTTTTAAATATATTATACCAGAACATTGTATATATGTAGTTCCTCTAGAAGTCGTTTTTAATTGGCTATATACCTAATTTAATTATTGTGATCTTAAACTACATCTTGTGTACACTATTTATTACATATTAGAAATATTTTTCCAAAACCAAATACAGTTTTAAACGTTCAATTGAAATCATAAATATCTGTTTTTTTATTGATTGCCTGATTGCCTGGATCACAGCCCACCTGGTGTTAAGTGGTTACTGAAGCCCATAGACATCTACAGCGTAAATGTGTCACCCACCTTGAGATATAAGTTTTAAGGTCTCAGTATAGTTACAACGGCTGCCCCACCCTTCAAACCGAAACGCATTACTGCTTCACGGCAGAAATAGGCAGAGTGGTGGTACCTACCCGCGCAGACTCACTAGAGGTCCTACCACCAGTGAATGTGATGTTAAACATTTAATGTCGAAAATTGCAGACATAGTCCATAATATGAAATTGCTTAAATGACATTCTAAAATAATGTTAAAGTACGTGTAAGTACAGCCGCACGCCCGGCTCGCGCCAGCCGTCGCCCGCGGAGGAGGAGGGGGCGGGGGGCGCGCGCAACGGCGAGCCGCCCGTGTTCCCGCTGCACCCGCACCACGCGCTGCCGCAGCCGCAGCCCATGCACCATCTGCCGCATCTCTCGCACCCACAGGTACCACACGCCATTTATTGGGAAAAGTATTGAGGGAGGAGGGGGGACTTTCGAACCCAAAAGTGCGTGGGAAAAGAGCGTAAGGGACAAATATGCCAAGAAACTCGACGAGTGCGTCAAATAATAGTACATTGTGATGCTGGATGAGATGTCCTACTTTTTTCCCGCGGTGCACATACTATTTTTTCTCCTACCAGGCCGAAAGTTCGACATTGTAAAAAATTTAGCACCCGTGGAGTACCGAGCCGGGGTCCAGGGGCGAAGCCCCGGTCGGGCCCAAGGGCGCCCCCCTGGCGGGGGATGGGGGGGGGGTTGGAGGATAATTTGGAGAGAGGAGTGATGGTCGGGTTAAATTTCACGAAATCTCATAACTGGGGGGAAAATTTTGTGCTCCCTACAGTACCAATACATACTTATAGTAAATTTTGAGAAAATTTCAATGATGTTTGATTCATATTTTATATCGATAAAAATAGACCATAGAACATTTTCATAGAAAACAGTTTATCGTGAGGACATCTAAGAACGGTTTTACCATTTTTCCAGCCACACCCGGGGATGTTAGGCGTGGCTCCACTACAGGGCCTACCGCATCCGCAACACGCACAGATTCACCCAGGTAAATTTCGCGAATTAATAAATGTATAAATACCAATGTAAAACATGCCCAAAATACTTTGCTTTACACATTATTTCGTTTATTTACAGGAATGACACTAAACGACTCTATGAACCAACACATCGAACTTGTTTTACAAATGGAACAACATCCTCAATTCGACAACAGCAGCTTTGCGAGCTCGCAACAGGTTTGTTTTGTGTAATCTTGTCGTGACATTATTTGATAATGGTAAATACTCAAATCTCTGAAGCAATGTGTGCTCGTTTTGTCAAATAAATCATCTATGTGTGTATCCTTGACCTGGACCCTATACATTGGGTGGTATACTAAATTACGGAAGAGGTAAATTTATTGTTGAAATAAAAGATGTAGGTAATCGTCGAAAAAAGAATTCCTATTTTTTTGTCTTTATCAGTTTTTAACTTAAATATTCTCGTCCCAATAAGTTTGATTAGTATGCGAATTGGCAAACAAATTCAAAGAATAATTTCATAGTTAAAAACATTGTTAATAACAAGCCTTTAATGATGACACACATAGAATGAGTTAACATAATTGAATATGTATCCAACATTTCATGTCTGTGCTGCTAACCGTTGAGGAGTTTCCTAGTCAGGACCCAACCCTGAGTGCAGCAACCATGTCATGGTAAAACTTACAGCCGGCTATCATAATCGAATGCGTACACAAAACGTCACGTCTGTGTTCACTGTTGGAGAGTTTCTTCGTCTTGAGCTAATTTTGGATGTCGATTCAGATGATGATTACCATAAAAATAAATTCTGATCGAAATCCAACAACCGACATGTGAACATTTTACATTTTAAGATAAGATAAAGTGATTGTGATCTAGCTTGCAATTTTGAGTTAAATAAAACATATGGTGCAATCAAAACTAGTGACATTGTAAAGTTACCGTTACTAAATACAAAATCTTAGTTTTTTCACAAATTAAATTTCTACATTAAGTTCTTGTCTTCGTATTATTGGGCTTTTTAAATATATTATTATTACATTATATATAATTAAATTTCATATTATTTGTTTTTTGCCTAAGATTTAATGATGTGATGGCGTATACAATATTGAATGGATGAAAAATAAATTAAAAAAAGCCAAAAGGATCTTAAAAATATAAGCTACATTCATTTTTGGTTAGTTTACAGAAATCAAGAGTATCTATGTAAAAATACTTTACTGGTGTTGCAAGATAACAAACGTAGATGGTTGCCTGGTAATATTATTATTCCAATAAACACAATTGTTAGATATATTGTTACATTGATGGGCATGGTCTCTTTATATCGTTTTAACGTATTTAGACCTACGGCCAGTTAAAGGTCCCCAGGAACCCGCTGCGCGGACTCTGTCATTATCAAATGTCAACATTTGACAACTCTATTAGAGAAGGGCTTCCAAATACCTTCTGATTGACTAGGCACGTTAAATGTTTTATTTGGAATCAAGTATAACTAACTCATCTTCGGACCGTATCGATTCGGTTCAGCTTGCAAATGTTTTTTTTTCCAGAAGACGTACAGTTATAATAACCCTTATTTTCCGATACATTGTTTTTATATTATTGTTAATAGCTGTCTACCAATGTTAAATATATTACAATTAGAGATCCAGGTCAACAATTGCTAATGTTGTTTGGAATGAGTTATTGATGGGAAAATTTAATTTACAAAAAAAAACTGGAAATTTAAAGAAAAGTATGTCTTTGAAATCACTTAGTTTGATTTTTACAAAATAACCGATTATTTTGCATTCGAAGATCGATGTGAATAAACAGATTAATTAATTAAAAATATTTATTAAAATTAAAAATTCCAAAAGATATTTTTTTCCCTTTTTCTAAACCGCTGTTTGAAAAAAAATACAGTGCTGATAAGTGCGTTGTAATCAAGGTTATTCCTTAAAATTTAAAAGAGTATCTGGGGGTCATTCGTTCTTAGGAACAACGATCGAAATGTTCGATCTGGTCGATACATTCCAACTCTGTTAAAATTACTCGATTTGCTTACAAAGTTTCTAGTTTTGATGGCCACGGCCGTACGTACGAATATTGCAAGTTAAATAAAGACTTGTTCAAAAACCAGACATATGACATTTTGACTATAACTCGTGAGAATTGCATAGCCAATGTTACGTTCTTGATATCTGACGTAATAACAAAAAATAGCATTCGAAAACATGATTGCATGATGTATTTCGCATTGAAAGTAACATAACAATAATAAATTGCGCCTGCGATTACATACAGTTTGATATTAGATGAGTTTTCGGTGCACCCCCAGTAATCGAGGGGGACACACACACACCATAATGTGAACGGGTGAGCGTGCGTGTTCCTCGGGACATGAAATCGAAGTCTATTGCTTCGCGCGGACTCAAAATTTAAATTTCGAATATTTTTGGTTGTATGTACACAAAATATTTCTGATAAAGTTGAATAGTCGATAATGTCCTGTGCGTAGTACGGCGGCGCGGTGGGAGCGGTGAGCGCGGTGAGTGGGGTGGGCGCAGAGAGCGCAGGCGGGGGACTCGTCAACGGCGCGCCCTCGGCGCCCGACTCCGCGCATCACACGCCCTTCGACGTGCAGGTACGTACATACATAGACAGTCTACACCAGTGGTGGGCAAACATTTTTAATAGCGGGCCACAAAGCTTAAGAAACTCTAGAGGAGGGCCAGAATTATAGAAGAAATGCATTTTGTATTAAAGCTTTTTAATAAACAAAATACCTTTTACTTTTACGCGTTGTTAGGCGTGTGATAGATAGGTGAAAAGAATGTTTTTTTTTTCAATAAATAAACTAATACCTGTGACAGACTGCCGAGATAATTATAATGATGGCAAGTTAATGATGAGATAATGAAAGCTCAAAACACCCTGACGAATTGGAGCTTTCATTAAAAATTCGAAGATTTTCAATTATAAACCTTAGATTTTATTTTACGCGCCAAAATGCTGACTACAATATTTAGGATGGATGGACTCTCGGCGGGCCGGATTAAACACTTTCGCGGGCCGTACTTTGCCCCATCACTGGTCTACACTATCGGCGCGCTATAATGGCCGTTTTGACATATTACAATAGTAATGCGAAATGTCAATTTATTCTCGAAAAATATATAATGAAATCTATAAGTTTTTATTGCAAGTAGTACATACCTGATTAAAAAGGTTTAATAAAACAAAAATATAAATGCCTACTTAATATATTTGAACGATCTGAATATTGGAATGAAAATGAATATACATACTTTATATGCACACAAGAAACAAATTAATACAAAGAGATCAGAACAAGGTGCCACAAAAGGCTATATTTAATCAGATTCGTCCATACTGCTATTTTCACTGTCGTCACTGCTATCATCACCTACATTAATTATAAGTTATTTGAATTTTGTATCCTAAAATAATAAATTAGATATTTTTTTATGACTAACTTGCACGTCACTATTGACAATAAAAAACAGCAATTTGCTCCTTCAAATGTAATTACTATTAATAGGAAACTTCACGAGTAGACAAATGTCAAAACGGCCATCGTAGCGTGCCGGTAGAATAGTTGTAATGCAGACTCGCCAACTTAAACAGTCTTCCAATTTTAATTAATACCAAGGAACGGTGCTTCCCGAACGCTTATGACATTTCCTTCTTCAAACGAGGCTTGTGGAGAGTAATAGTAGGCAGCGGCTTGGTTCTGTCCCTGGCATTGCGAAGTCCATGGGTCACGGTAATCACTCACCATCAGGTGGGCCGTATACTCATCCGGCTATAAGGGCTATAAATAAAAAAAGCAAAACCTCTTTAGGCATCCAATAATCACCAACACCAGTTATATAGAACCACTTAAACGAGAACAGAGAAGGCAAAGGGATATTTTTGGCCAGAACGTGAAGAATGTCATGTGAATTATTTTATTTCGCCAACCTAGTGTTTCATAAAGGATAAACGATAACGGCTTTTTTAAACCGTTTAGTATTTCTGAAAGTTCGCAAGTGTAGGAAATTGATAAATATTGCCCGTGATGGATCCCCTAATTCATTCAAAAGACGGTCGATACCAGTACCAGTATCTAAACACTATTGTATTGTATGCTGGAAAATAAGTAAATAAGAGCAATTCTGGGAAATTTTGACATTGCACTCCAACATAATAATATGTCTATATCTTTAAATATATCAATATATGTACTTGAAAAAACTTCACCAGACTTTTTTACTTTTTAGTAAGGTAGTTACGAAAAAAACTTCATACTTCATTTTGCTCTCGTGATCTACATTGATGCCAGTGTTTTGTCTATATATTTTTTTTTTACTTCTAGAATAATCATTTATGCCGTGCGTTATAACTTTGAGGATTTAGACAATTAATTATATATAGGACTTTTGTGCGGCTTCTTTAAGAATATTTTATACTCTTAGAAAATTATCGTAATTACAAAAATAATATGTTCTTCGGAGTTTGCGAATCGTAGACATTATCAAACCTACTTTTACGGTTTAATCAACCTTTTTTTTTATGGCTATTACAATATTTCCAACGTTTTGAACGCTACACAGTTTCAAGGTCACATACGACTAAGATGTTAATTCATCGACATTTGATTATTGACATTTTGAATTTTGACATTTCCTTTAAAAAATATTTGTAGACTTTTTCGTTTAATTTCACACAGAACGAACCGATTCTATACTGAAGTCGGGCAGTTTGCTTGACTTGGGTTTTCTTTCATCTTCACGAAAAGAGGATCCTTGGATTTTTGGGCGGGAACGCGAGGAGCGAAGTTTTGTACAGCGCGTTATTTTGTTAATTTAGTGTCTCATTAGGTTTAAATCTGTACCTACGGTAATTTATTTACTATTTAGCATCTGTAAAAGTGCACAGCTGATGGAAAATGAAACTAGGCCTCTGGGCGTGGCTTCTCGGTTTCGTCCAAAAAGTCCAATGAACTCTAAAATTACTCAACTTCAGCTCATTTCGCTTCATATAATTTTTCATATAATAGAATAACTTAGATTTTTATAAACTCGACATTGGTATCACCGGTATGGCAAGGAGCCATTTGCTATACTTAAAAAGAGGAAGTAAAGAGTATAATAGGTGTTAGTTAAGTGCTAACTATCTTCTCCATTAAAGTTAGGATGTCCAAAAAAGGGACATACCAAAAGACACATGGTCTTATCGGTTAGAGTTAAGGGCTTATCACTAGAGGTTATCGGTAGGCAGCGGCTTGGCTCTGTCCCTGTAATTGCTGACGTCCATAAGCGACGGCAACCACTCACCATTAGGTAAGCTCATCCGCCTACACGGGCAATAAAAAAGGACGATATTGCGGACGTTACCGGGTACACTAGTCTCCAGTTTGTCAAAATCTTTGGAAAAGCGACACCAACCATTCTATAAGATTTGAAAAAATCCAAATATTAATTAAAGAAAATATATATAAATTCCACGTGCGCGAGGCCGTGAATATAAATAAATTCAAGTAAATGGTGCCATAAGATCTTTGAATACATGAAATGATGAATACAGTGTCCTCCTCAACAACTCAACGCTCGCCTACAGCTGCAATGATTTCAAGAGGCCGACCGAACCGACGCTGACTATGGGTCTCACAGTTCAATCGATGTTTTTTCACAACTTTTGACCAATATAAAATTTGGGACATTAGGTACACTTTCTCGATAGAAAATTGCGCGAATTTTGCGAGCGGTCTCGGCGTAACTTTCCCCGTTTTTTGTAATAGGTTTTCACAATGATAATGCTTTATTCTTTTGTTCACCGTTCTAATTTTTTTTTAAAACGTAACAATAGTAGATGTCACTTCTTAAATTATAGTGTTGTCATTTGCACGAAATTGCATTTACAAAATATTTTTGGTTTGATATTATTGATTTGTTGTAAATTGCAAATTAAAGTAGATTTCTATGGTAATTTATATTAAAATTAATAATTTGCTCCCTCCTCGCGTCGTTTCCTCACTGCTGAGGGTCGCGACATTCGTATTTGGACAGGATTTTACTCCTTGTAATGTCCCTCCAGCGCATCCAATCATTGGCCGCATGAAGGCTTCGTGGAATGTGATCTCTAATGTGGTGTGGATTTGATTGAACCACCTTGTCGGACTGCGCCCGCGCGGTCTCTTTCCCTCGATCTTCCCTGTCACAAATAATCACATTAAGCCATCGGGTGTTTTCCGAGCAGTATGACCGAAGTACTCGAGTGCGCAGCGAAGGCAGAGTGTGGACAGTCTAGTCTTGATCTGCAGTTGGCCTTAGACAGAGAAGAGAATAATTGGCTAATTGTGAACATTGTGGCCCGTTTTTTACTGGTGGTAGGACCTGTTGTGAGTCCGCGCGGGTAGGTACCACCGCCCTGCCTATTTCTGCCGTGAAGCAGTAATGCGTTTCGGTTTGAAGGGTGGGGCAGCCGTTGTAATTATACTGAGACATTAGAACTCATGTCTCAAGGTGGGTGGCGGCGTTTAAGTTGTAGATGTCTATGGGCTCCAGTAACCACTTAACACCAGGTGGGCTGTGAGCTCGTCCACCCATCTAAGCAATAAAAAAAAAAAACTCCGGTCTTAAATTCTTTATGCTAATTGCGCACGCATGCCTTGGTGTGTTTGTTATAGTTGCCATATTGAATAAGAATATTATGATTTTAATTTAATAATGTTGTTACTGCAACTTTGACAATCTACGCAGTAGTATGTCAGTAGTGCGTGCGGTACTTTGACCATTTTCTTTCATGATTTTTGCATAGATCACATTCAAATACAGAATACTGTTTAATAATAAAATAATTATGAAATATCACTTACTGTTAGTCTATAAGTGTCAGCATGATACTTGATCATCTAATGTAAAAGGGGTATTTAAAAAAAACGCATTTACAAAACGCAAAACAAAGACTATAATATGGTACGCTTTCACATATTTCAGGGAATATATTATGTAAAAACGGGAAACGTTAAATTCAAAGCTGACTTATTATAATTTCACCATTCTGCATATAATATATTTAATATCAATTTTACTATAAGTGGGGTTTTGTAACTTACAATCTCTAATTTAACAGCTTATTATAGAAATGCGGTTCATTTAATTTATATTATGATATATAGTGTACAAAAGAAATACAGACTGTTAACAGGCCTTTATAACAACCATTTTTTAATTAAAATATCTTCTTCAAGACCATCATGCGAAAATGCGGAGGCGTATGATTAAGTTCGCTGCTTAATGTAAAAAGAGAAGATCAGTGGAGGAACATGTCAATCGTAACAACAATGCGAAACTCGCTCAAAACTGAAACGCACTAAGTAAACGATTTGAAAGAAGTTAATGATTTAACAATAATCACTACAAAAATTGTGAGCGACCGGGTATCGAAAAAATATACGAATTTTATCAAAAAATTTGCCATATTTCATTATAATGTTGAGTCATATCGGTCGTCAATATAGTTTGTATACTAAGCATATTTTTTTAATCCAAAACAACATAAAAATATATCGCTTGCACTGCTTTCGCGCTTGTTTTGTGTTGGATTGCCCTTGGACACACTGAATAACAAACGCGCAGT